CACATACTCACCCCGAATAATCTTTTCCTGCACCTCAGCAGGCACATGTAAACCTAAAGGGGCCAGCTCACACCCCGGGAGAAAGGAACCAACCCCCATCCCCTGACCCCTCAAACTATCCGTCCCACCTGCACCCTGAACCCCGAGACCACTGCCCCTGGCTTGACCCTCCACTAAAAGCCTCAGCAGGCGCAACACCTCACTATCCTGACCTGATCCCCCTGCTGAACCCCAGGCGCCAGCGCATGCCAACTCACCGAATGAGGGAAGGCGCAGGGGCTGCTCTCCATCAGCTTCACGCTCCTCCTCTGACTCCTCTGACTCCGCAGCACCCCGTGTACTGCTCGGACCTGGGGACTCCCACCGCCTTGGGGCTGCTGTCCGGGTCACAGCACCCCTATTTCCGGGTTCTTCAGCCGGCGCCGGCCATCCCTGAGCGCCCGGCCTCCTAATTTCAGCGCGGGCACCCACTTCCGGGTTTTGCCCGTCGCCGGCATGTGATGTCATATCCGGCGCGCCGGCCGTGCGCGACCGGCGTCGTGACGTCACTTCCGGCCGCACCGGAAGAGAAGGTGGAGGGCTCCTCGACCTTCCCGCCATGCCGCCATCTTGGGAATGGCTGCCGGACGCCACCGCAGCCCTCACCTGGGACCGGACCGCTCGGGGGGGGACCTAAGGCTCGGCTCCACGTCCCCAGCCACTCCAGTCCGCCGGCGCCTGCGGCCCTCTCGCTCACCTCGCACCGGGCTGGGAGACAGCCGCGACGGCGGCCTTGAACGCCTGGCCCGCCGCCCTTCTTCCACAGGCCTCGCCTCTTCACCCGGGACACCTTCCATGCCGGCCAACACCGCTGCCAACGAGCCTGCACCATGTGCAGCCCGGTAAGCCTGCAACAGGGCCACCAACGATTCCTGGGAAACATCCATCAGATAAGCAGGAATACAGGTAAGTGAAAAAACTGAATAATAATAGCTTTTTTTTTTTGTTTGTTTTTTTTTTTTTGGGGTCAGCAAAGAAGTACAGATGATGGACAGATGAAAGTCAGGATCCCTGCACTTCCAAAGCTGACTGGTAAGTCCCCTCCCCTAACTGTCCTTATAACTGTCTTCCATCTTAGCAACTATGTATCCATTTATACCCCTCCCTTCCCTTACTCCTTCAAGACTCCTTATCCTAGCCGCAGTCATGTCCCCCCTTCCTTGTCAGTCCAGGGAGGTGTCTATATCATGTTTGAGCTTGTGCTAAGCAAGTTAATCCTGGCTAGACAGTTGAGGGAGTTAAGTGTGTGGTGCATCTAATTCCCTGCGAGGAGCCGTGTAGTGCAGCGTGGGGGAGTGCAGGAGAACTGGCCTAGTGAACTGGTAATGCAAGGTGATTTACATGTGTGGTTGGTAAAGCTTGCTAGCTGGACATGAGATGACAATATCCTGCATGTAACGGTACTGCTGCCTGTGCAGGCGATTGGGAGACAAGTATACACTCAGTATGACTAAGCACCGGCTAAGCATGTATTCCTAGTGCTGTTAAATAGCAAACATATCGTGAGAGCGTAAAAGTAGTTAGAGGTAATCATACATTGCTTAGTTAGCTATTCTTCGCTGTCTAGATCACTAAAGCTGAATTTTGTCCAGAGTAGGAGATCTTAGCTGGTAAGATGAGTGTGAAAACATAATAATAAAAGGAAGGAACAAATCAGTACTTGCTTAGAATAATTGCTTGACTGCCTGTAACACATATAGAGCATGCATGTCATGGAGCCGTCCCCAATACTTAGGTATTATAGTGTGGGGAAGTCCACTTTGCCGCCCGGGGTCAGCCAATGCCCACAGTGGCGATCTGCTGGTGTGGTGTGGTGTGCTGTAATCTGTCAAGACAGGGACCTGAGCAGTGTCCTGAGAGTTATGTGTCAGCACCTCGCCCAAAGATCCTCTGGGCTGCTGCGGTAGATCGACGCATGGGGTGGAGAGGTGGAGGGTTATGGCTGCTCTGTCGCGTCTTGGGTACCTTGCCTGGGTTGTAGCGGATCTGTGAGGTGTTTTCCAGAGTGTCTGGTAAGCCTTTGCTTGGGCCCTGCTGGGTGGCCTCTGCGTTGCCAGCTGGCAGAGCCCTCTGTGCTGCTTGCCTGTTGTAGCTGGTTGGGGCCGCACGTGCGGACGACCTTGTGGTCGGTGAGGTCTCCGCCGAGCCACCGTTCCAGTGTTTGCCCACTTCCGCTGTGTTGTGGGTGCGTCTGGGTGACACAGCTGGCTGTGAGGGGGCGAAGGTTGTGGAGCCGCCGGTTTAGCCGGTGCAGGAGCAGGGAGTCGACTCTACTCTTCCAGTCGCTCCCAGAATCGCCTGCATACGGCGTCAAATTTGGCCCGAAAGTTTGCTGCCCAGTCACTAGTGTTGTGTTGCTCCGGGTGAGCTGCACCGCTGTTGGCCATCTTGGTTAGGCCACATGCGTCCTGTTGGTTGGAGCCGCGCTCTCGAGCGACCCATGGATGAGTGCTCCCAGAAGGCAGGTGGACCAGGATGACCCCCGCCGGTCTATGGGGGGGGGGGCAAGGGCCCGTATAATCAGTGGCTGTTGGTTGTGGCGTTGGGAGAGCGGCCGTCCCTCCCGCGCGCGCCACGTGGGTAGGCTTCAGGCGCTTGTCGGGTGAGACGTTCTCGTATTGTCGCTTAAGGGGTGTCATTTCGCTTCTTTCGATGTCCCCTCATGTTTGCTGGCCTTTATGGCATTATCAGTCGCCGTTTAAGTTGTGTGAGACTGTTGGTTTTGAAGCGTGGTGCAGGCGCTCATGAGGCTAACGTCCTCTCAGCTCAGTGGTCAGGCCCCGCCCCCTCCCTGCTCTCTTTTGTTCCATTCTGCTTCTTTCTGTTCCATCCTGCTCCCTTACCTTTCTGCCATACCTTATGTCATATTCCGGCCTCGGTCTCATTAAGCTGCGCGCTGGGGAGCAGAGACGGCACAGCTCCCCCTGCGGCCGCCAGCACAGCTCCCCCTGCGGCCAACAGCACAGACAGCTGTCTGCCCTGCACCACCTCCTGGCCGGTCGCCTACAGGTAGCAATTGTGTCCAGTCCGTCAGCGTGAGTGTATGTGTGTGTGTCTCTTATGGTGTGTGTGCCTGTCTGTGTCATGGTGTGTGTGTGTCTGTGTCATGGTGTGTCTGTGTCATGGTGTGTGTCTGTCAAGATGTGTGTGTGTCTGTGTCATGGTGTGTGTGTGTGTGTCTGTGTGTGTTTTAAAAATAGTGTTTTTACTCACCTTTTTTTTCCCCACGCCATGCTGGTCTCCCCTCGACTGGACCTGCCTCTATGGCTGAGATCATCTAAGTTGATGATCTCAGCCAATCCAATGCTTTGCCATAGGATTTGGCTGAAAAACGTTACATCAATCAGCATCTCCTCATAGAGATGCATTGAATCAATGTATCTCTATGGGGAACGTTCAGCGCCTCCAGAGTGTGGAGGCCCTAAATGTAGGTGCTGCACACCGTGCAGCACTGACACAGGAAGCACCTCTAGTGAGCACCTGAGTGTCTGTCACTAGAGGTGTCACTAGGAAGCAATGTAAACACTGACTTTTCTCTGAAAAGTCAGTGTTTACATTGAAAAGCCTGCATGGACAGGCTATAGACACCAGAACCACTACATTAAGCTGTGTGTGTGCGCCTGCTAGTGAGTGAGCTTGCTTGCATGTGTGTGTGTGCCTGCTAGTGAGTGAGCTTGTGTTTTTGTCAATGAGCTTATGTATATCACTGAGATTGTTTGTCTATGAGGCTGTGTATCAATGAGCTTGTGTGTGTCAGTGAGATTTTCTATGTCTGCATGTGAGTATGCTTACTGTATTACAAAGGACCAATATTAGAAAAAGCAATATATATATATATATATATATATATATATTACTCAATCATTTGGGGTGGCAAGACATTGCCTTACATATTACATGCGACAATATATGACTTATGGGGCCGGCATAGACTTTTTTTTTTCCAGGGCTGCTTTGTGTTACCAGTCCGGCCCTGGAGGAGGGGATGCGGCATGTTATGGAACCCCTCTATCTCAGAAGCAGAGGAGTCTGCAGGCCTCCATCTTTTGCGAACACCAGAAAGTTAAGAGCGGGGCAGCGAGCGGCTCTCTAATTCAGTGGGGTGAACTCACGCCCGTTAGTATGAATAACAAAACATTTACGCGTCCCAAGAAACTTTCTCTGACACATTATCCTGGTAAACACACAGGAAGATCCTGGTAAAACCGGGACGTCTGGTCAACCTGTCCAGCACCGATCTTCAGCTTCTGCTACCCCCCCCCCATTATTTCAGATAGCGCGGGGCTGCCGCTGATTCTCTGAGGATTGGAAGCTGACGCTCTCAGCCAATCAATGACTCCTAATTCACAAAACTGGGTTTCTTTTGAGGGCAGGTTTGTGAATGGGCAGTCACTGATGGCTGACCGCTCTCAGCAATCAGCAGCATCCCGGCCCGTTGGCACTCCGCACTTACTGAAACTTACATTTCAGATGCCGGAATCTATGGGGGAGTGGAGATTGGCACTGGAGGCAACTTTGGGGTTAAACCACTCGAGATGAAGTTAAGAGTGCGCTGGATGCCCCCTGGCACCGTAACTTCATTTAGATGAAGTTGTTATGGTCCCTGGAGTGTGGTTATACAACAATTTTTAGTGAGTTCATGACTTTCGCAAAGGCAATCATTTTACTAAGAAATAAATATTTAAAACAAAATGACAGCACTGTTATTGAGCCTGCAACTTCACAGACCCTGTCAGAGACATGCAAGCAAGCAAGCACTCAATGAGCAAAGCCCTGCACTGCTAAAGCCATAAAGCATGTGCTCTGATGCTATCAGTGTATGTCCCAGGCTCCTCTATGTGCCTGGAAATACTTCATCTCCCAGCATGCCAATCTGCCATTCCTTCGAGCGTCAGCACTCTTGCAGGTAAACCCCGCCCCACGACACAAATCACTTCACCAGCCCAGGACGCCACGCCCAGCCAAGGCCCCGCCCACAGATCGCAAGGCACCTAGCTCATACCGTGGAGCCCCGCCCCCTGGTGAAGCCACGCCCATCACCGCAGGCCCGCCAGCCGCTCCCTGTCCTCGAGCTGTCAGAAGCCGAACCATGGCGCATCAGACCGGGATCCACGGTACAACCCGCTCTCTGTATCCTCTGTCCCTCCCCCCCGCCTGCCGGCCATAGCTAGCTCAACATAGGGATAGGGATAGATTGCTGAACTGCTCTGCCAATAGCTAGATCTCCATCTATAGCTCTCTATACACAACGCTATCTATCTATACACAACGCTATCTATCTATACACAGCGCTATCCGTCTATACACAGCGCTATCCATCTATAGACAGTGCCTATAGCTTTATACACAGCGCTATCCATCTATAGACAGTGCCTATAGCTTCATACACAGCGCTATCCGTCTATAGACAGTGCCTATAGCTTCATACACAGCGCTATCCGTCTATAGACAGTGCCAATAGCTTCATACACAGCGCTATCCGTCTATAGACAGTGCCTATAGCTTCATACACAGCGCTATCCGTCTATAGACAGTGCCTATAGCTTCATACACAGCGCTATCCGTCTATAGACAGTGCCTATAGCTTCATACACAGCGCTATCCGTCTATAGACAGTGCCAATAGCTTCATACACAGCGCTATCCGTCTATAGACAGTGCCTATAGCTTCATACACAGCGCTATCCGTCTATAGACAGTGCCTATAGCTTCATACACAGCGCTATCCGTCTATAGACAGTGCCTATAGCTTCATACACAGCGCTATCCGTCTATAGACAGTGCCAATAGCTTCATACACAGCGCTATCCGTCTATAGACAGTGCCTATAGCTTCATACACAGCGCTATCCGTCTATAGACAGTGCCTATAGCTTCATACACTGCGCTATCCGTCTATAGACAGTGCCTATAGCTTCATACACTGCGCTATCCGTCTATAGACAGTGCCTATAGCTTCATACACTGCGCTATCCGTCTATAGACAGTGCCTATAGCTTTATACACAGCGCTATCTATAGACAGTGCCTATACCTTTATACACAGCGCTATCCATCTATAGACAGTGCCTATAGCTTTATACACAGCGCTATCTATAGACAGTGCCTATACCTTTTATACACAGCGCTATCCATCTATAGACAGTGCCTATAGCTTTATACACAGCGCTATCTATCTATAGACAGTGCCTATAGCTTCATACACAGCGCTATCCATCTATAGACAGTGCCAATAGCTTCATACACAGCGCTATCCATCTATAGACAGTGCCTATAGCTTTATACACAGCGCTATCCATCTATAGACAGTGCCTATAGCTTTATACACAGCGCTATCCATCTATAGACAGTGCCTATAGCTTTATACACAGCGCTATCTATCTATAGACAGTGCCTATAGCTTTATACACAGCGCTATCTATCTATAGACAGTGCCTATAGCTTTATACACAGCGCTATCTATCTATAGACAGTGCCTATAGCTTCATACACAGCGCTATCTATCTATAGACAGTGCCTATAGCTTCATACACAGCGCTATCCATCTATAGACAGTGCCTATAGCTTCATACACAGCGCTATCTATCTATAGACAGTGCCTATAGCTTCATACACAGCGCTATCTATAGACAGTGCCAATAGCTTCATACACAGCGCTATCCATCTATAGACAGTGCCTATAGCTTTATACACAGCGCTATCTATCTATAGACAGTGCCTATAGCTTTATAGAGCAGAGAATCCCTCTAATCTACTCCTCACTTTCACCACAAGACCACAGGATCCTCCATATACTTTTTTTTTTTTTTTTCCTCTTCATCCGGAGGAAATGACGGAGATATGTCTGCCTTTTGTCAAGTTTTGTCAGATGTAGATAACATACTAATGCATAGTCCCCTTTTCTGTCTTAGTATATCTGTTGACTGTGTATACAGTCGATGTGATTATTTCATAAATATTTTATCTTCATGAGATAATTTTGCAAGGGGAGGGGGTTACAGAGCAGTTTTAAATAGGTGCCATAGCTATTTTAGCATAGATTTATGGGAGGTCCTCCTGCCTGTACTGAAATATGTATTATATGTGTGTGTAACTATGTCGTACAGCTTCTGTCGTACAACTATAGGCCAGTAAGCCTTACTTCAGTAGTGGGGAAAGTGATGGAAACCATGTTAAAGGATAGGATTGATGAACATCTAAAAACACATGGGTTTCAAGATCAGAGACAACATGGGTTTACTTCAGGGAGATCATGCCAAACTAATCTTATTGATTTTTTTGATTGGGTAACTAAAATTATAGATCAGGGTGGTGCAGTAGACATTGCTTACCTAGATTTCAGTAAGGCTTTTGACACTGTTGCACATAGAAGGCTTATCAATAAACTGCAATCTTTAAGTTTGGATTCCAATATTGTTGAATGGGTAAGGCAGTGGCTGAGTGACAGGCAACAGAGGGTTGTAGTTAATGGAATATATTCGAAGCTTGGACTTGTCACCAGTGGGGTACCTCAGGGATCTGTACTTGGACCCATTCTCTTTAATATTTTTATTAGTGATATTGCAGAAGGTCTTGATGGTAAGGTATGTCTTTTTGCTGATGATACTAAGATATGTAACAGGGTTGATGTTCCAGGAGGGATAAGCCAAATGACAAATGATTTAGGTAAACTAGAAAAATGGTCAGAATTGTGGCAACTGACATTTAATGTGGATAAGTGCAAGATAATGCATCTTGGACGTAAAAACCCAAGGGCAGAGTACAGAATATTTGATAGAGTCCTAACCTCAACATATGAGGAAAGGGATTTAGGGGTGATTATTTCTGATGACTTAAAGGTAGGCAGACAATGTAATAGAGCAGCAGGAAATGCTAGCAGAATGCTTGGTTGTATAGGGAGAGGTATTAGCAGTAGAAAGAGGGAAGTGCTCATGCCATTGTACAGAACACTGGTGAGACCTCACTTGGAGTATTGTACACAGTACTGGAGACCTTATCTTCAGAAGGATATTGATACCTTAGAGAGGGTTCAGAGAAGGGCTACTAAACTGGTTCATGGATTGCGGGATAAAACTTACCAGGAAAGGTTAAAGGATCTTAACATGTATAGCTTGGAGGAAAGACGAGACAGGGGGGATATGATAGAAACATTTAAATATATAAAGGGAATCAACACAGTAAAGGAGGAGACTATATTTAAAAGAAGAAAAACTACCACAACAAGAGGACATAGTCTTAAATTAGAGGGACAAAGGTTTAAAAATAATATCAGGAAGTATTACTTTACTGAGAGGGTAGTGGATGCATGGAATAGCCTTCCAGCTGAAGTGGTAGAGGTTAACACAGTAAAGGAGTTTAAGCATGCATGGGATAGGCATAAGGCTATCCTAACTATAAGATAAGGCTAGGGACTAATGAAAGTTTTTAGAAAATTGGGCAGACTAGATGGGCCGAATGGTTCTTATCTGCCGTCACATTCTATGTTTCTATGTTTCTATATGTTTAAGTTATAACATGGTCTGACAGGATGCACAGTCTGATCAGTGTGCAGTGAGATTTTCTCTCTAAAGCAGCAAACTATTATAAATCGACCAGGGTAAATATCACATTTAGACCAAAATAACCTAGGTGGAAAGAAAATAATTAAGTCAGATTTTACATCCATTTTGTGCCAAAATTTAAAATTCTTTGATTCCATATTTAGTAAATACATGTAGGTATCCATTAAGTTTTTTTGCATTTTGTTTTGCATTTGGTAGTTTTATGATGTGTGTATGTAGAGATGATAAACAAAGATGGATTATAGAGGAGCGGATACTCCTGTGATAGTGTGAGGTCAAACTGAGAGTAACCAATAGAGAATGATTATTGAGATTTGGTTCTGCATTGTACAATGTAACAATGTACACAATGTGTAGGCCAAACTGGGGCAATTCTTTGAAGCGGTGATATGGTTGGATCGGCTGAATCTTTTTCGTTTTTTGTGTTTACAATTGGTGATGTCTAGTTTAATAGTTTCAATAGTATTGTTTATTTTTTTCTCGGAAAACATTGCCAACAATTCTTTTGCATGGTTTATTTACTTAAAGGGGTATGCCAGGCAATAATTGTCACTTGACTGCTTTGAAGTGGTCATGGTGCTTGGAGTGTGTATCTGCAGTATTTCACTATGTAACACCACATTGTTTAACCCCCCTTCTACTGGAGGTTTAAGTCCACCTCCGGCCGTGTTATAATTCTGGTTGGCTAATGTGAATTCTGTGCATGTTTGGTGTCTACTATAAACACAAACAGCCTGCTTGTGCCAGACAACCCCTTTTGTGCTGCTCATATCCTCCATTTATTCCATCATCTTATAGATTGGTGCGATGTATAAGGGATGCTGATGTCAGGCTGACTTGTAAAACTGAGTACAACCTACGTTTGATACAGCATCTTACATATTTATCAGTGAAAAACCGTTCTTATTGGCAATGTTTTAGTCGATTGCTGCTATTCACAAAAATACACTTTTCTAAAACTGCTCATTTACTAATTTTAATTAAAGGGACACTATAGTCAGCAGAACAACTACAGCTTATTGAATTTTAGTGAGTAGAATCATTACCTTCAGGGCTTTTGCTGTAAACACGGTCTTTTCTGAGAAAATGCAGTGTTTACATTACAGCCTAGTGATCACTTCACTGGCCACTCATCAGATGGCTGTTAGAGATCCTTCCTGGGTCATGGCTGCCTAAAATGCATCCAAACATTCAGTATCTCCTCCCTCTGCATGCAGACACTGAACTTTCCTCACAGAGATTCATTGATTCAATTCATTTCTATGAGGAGATGCTGATTGGCCAGGGTTGTGTTTGAATTGTGCTGGCTCTGCCCCTGATCTTCATCTTTGTCAGTCTCAGCCAATCCTATGGGGAAGCACTGTGATTGGATCAGGCCACCACTTCTGATGATGTCAGCATGCAGATCTACAGCTTTTAGCTTGAATACAGTATGATTCTGCTATATTTATGGAGGCATGAGGGGCCCAGGGGGGCTAGATGGTGGTTTTAACACTATAAGGTCATGAATACATGTTTGTGTTCCTGATCCTTTAAATAACATAATTTTCATATAACTAAACTTTACAATGTGGTTCCATTTGTCACTGGTCTGAGCCTTTTTTCCTCCTCTTTTGTAACTTCCTCTCCACTGTTATAAGCACGCCTAAATCTGCATTTAATAGCTTCTGCATGCTGAGTCTTGAAACTTTCATGTGTCTTCAAATTTGCCATTAAACAGGAAAAACTGAGGTTCCACAGCCACACATATGGTGCATTTTTGGTAATATAAATAGAAATGCATGTTTAACCCTGCTGTCTAATCCACAACTGTACGTGGTACGTCTTTCTGGGAATATATATATATATATATATATATATATATATATATATATATATATATTAATGTTTATCCCTGCAGGATATATTTATATAATGGTTATTAAAATGCAATATGTATCATTTTTAACACTTGATACAATGTCCAATCCTAGCTGCCGTCACGATTGATGGCTGTGGGATTCAGACATCGATCTAGGCCTCAGGGATGTACATTTGTACATGTACGAGAGTACAGCACTGAGCAATTTTTGCTAAAAGAGGTCGTGCTAGGCACACGTATTCCAAATGTTCTGTTTTTTCTCTATGCATTTTAATGTATCTTTTAAATGTCACTATTTAATTTGTTTTATATTGACAAATAACAGTGGTTAAAGGACACTATAAGCACCCAGACCACTTCAGCACATTGAAGTGGTATAAGTGCAGTATCCTTGTCTCCTGAACCCTACAATGGTAATTATTGCAGTTTCCTGAGAAACTCCAATAATTACTTTGCAGGCTTAAGACTGCGTCTAGTGGTTGTCAATGAGACATCCACTAGAGGCACTTCCAGGTGGTTAGGCGACTTTTGGTCACCTAACTGACGCTGGATATCGTCATGCTCTGCAAGAGGACATCCAGCGTTGGTCAATTCCCCATAGGAAAGCATTGCAGCAGGGAGCTATAGTGCTATAGTATCCTTTTAATATTGAGAGCACAAATTAGGATGCTTGGGCACCATGGGAAGTGTAGTCTGCAAAACACTGCAGTGCCTATCTTAGCTTTTACTGACATATGGCATATAACACAAACAAAACAAATGATTCTGCATGCAAAATGAACATATTTATTTCCAATCTGCTTCAACAGGTTTATCTGAGCAGCCAGCGATTCCCATGAAGACTTTGAAAACAACAAAACACCAGTATCTCAATTTGAGATTCCGACAAACAATACAGAGAGGTTCCCTTTCCTTATATAAACCTAGATGGATGGGCCTCTCTGTTTATCGTGGTTGTTATATCCACCTGATATAACTTTGTGATAAGACTGACAATGACTGCTTTAACAGCAGGTGATAATGGTATTTGTGTCCTGAGTGAGAGAAATGATTCTATATATTGTGAAATTGTCACCCAAACTTTCTCTGTAAAGTCTGTAAGGTATCGCTGAGATGCTTTATAGATGTTTGTAGAATTTAAGAGCCATTGCTTTTTTGGTCCTCCAAAGTGGTGCATCCATAAACCTCAAACTCAACAATGTTAAGGTGTAGAAGTGAAATTTTTAGGAGACATGTTCCCTTTGCTGGTGAATTTTGTGAATCCCCTGTTAAAATGACTTTCAATAGGATTTTCATGTAATAAAAAATGAATACCTGGGCTATGTTTTCTAAACAGCGACTTGTGAATAACAGACAAAAGTATTTGCAAAATAAATGCCACAAAATTAAATAAAATTCTCCAGCTCAGCTCGAAATGTATCATTCCTTGTATCATTTCTCCATAATTTCTAGTGTCTTGTAGTGTTTAAGTGGATTGGTCACTTTTGGGGGTCCTTGCATACTTTAAAAAAGACCCCTAAAATTGACATATTTTATGATGTTTTGGTAGGTGTAGAGGGGAAGTTACCTGAAGCTGTACCTCATAGCCTCCGTAGTCCTTGCTCTGCAAATTGTCTTCAGCTCCTGGTTTCGCCTGCCAGGAGCCATGTCAGTGCTATGCTCTCGTGCATGTGTAAGTGTACACCTCTGAGGTCTATGGAGGCCCACTGAAGACTCTATAGATGTCTGAATCCCACAGCCATCAATTGTGATGGCTGTGGGATTCACGTTTTGTCCCTTATATGTCTCATGGTATTTTAGGATTGCCTTTGAATTTCAGTGTAATCCCAAACCAGTTAGGATCAGTATTTCATAGAGTTTGTATTTTTTGAAATACTGAAAAGTGAAAGGGCCACTCGAGCACCAAAACACCTTTAGCTTAATGAAGTGATTTTGGTGGGTGGATCATCCCCCTAAAGTTTCATTGCTCAATTTTCTGCCATTTAGAAAATAAAAGGACATTCCAGACCCTCTAAAGCTCTTTAGCTTGCTGAAAATCTTTGTGTGAAGAGTGTATCCTCTTTTGTCATTTTACTAAAAGTGCAAATTTGATAAATTAACCTTGTTGCACCCCCTCCGGTCTGTCAATCAGACAACTGGTCTTGTAACATTCTGTTTTTTTAGCTCAGTGGGGATAAACGCATGAGGCAGACACTGCTGTAGAGAGCACCTGCCTAGCAATGACCGCTCATTGAGTTACATTGGGAAGTATGTGATTGGACAGCTACAGAAAGTCTGGCCTGTTTAAGAAAGGTAGGGCATGCAAAGCCTTCTGACAAAATCTTTTTACATATAACCCAAGGGGAAAAAAATCATAACTAAATGCTTGCATGTTGTCATTGGTAGCATATCTACTAAACTGTGATAAAAAATATATATATTTATTGATTGTTTTTTATTTATTTTTTTTTTCATTTGGGCAGTAGTGTATTTTTAAATCATTTTGTTTATGCAGTCCTAGTAACACCTCCCCTGGAACTGCAATGTTTAACATTGCAGCACTAGGTGCAAAAGCGACACTGCACCCAGACCACTTCAATGAGCTGAAGTGATCTGGGTGCCTACAGTGTCCCTTTAATTCAATGCATCTCTATGATGAGATGCTGATTTTCTTAAATTGGATAACATACAAGCTTTAACTTTAAACTGGATAACATACAAGCCAGTAGGTTTACTCTAACCTGCTGGAATAATGCTGTAAACGTTTCTGCAGCTCCCTGCAATTCAACAGGGTTACAAAGAAATTGATACAATAATGCTGTAGACTACTCGTAATAACAAAAGTATATACTGTACTAATACAGAAAAAGCTGATGTCAAGGTGTGTTTACCTTTTTACCATAATGGTCATAATACCTAACAATGTTTGTACAGTGAGGTGAACTTGTTCAAATGTTTCTCCAGCTTCGTGTAAGAACCATGCTTTTAGTCTTTACTTCCGGAGACAGACAACAGGAAGTGAACAGTACAAATAAAAAATAGCCCACCCCATGTATGAAAAGACTTATGATTATCTGATTTTCTTACGTGTAAAGTATACCTTTATTTTAGCTGCATTTTTATTTAAGATTTGATTTTCATACCAATGCAATGATATTCCTAAAAATCATCAAACGTTCTTTGTATTTACAACAGTGTGGTAAATTGAACCTGCAAAGCTGAATTTGTCAGCTTGTTTGCAGCTTTTTCAATGCAGCAGCCCAGCCTTATTAGCAGTGTGTCACGAACATACCCAACCCCCCCCCTCCAGTTTGCTCTGATAGCATCACTCCCACTAGCCAGATCTGAGTGGGCTCAGATTTGATGTTTAGAAAGCTATTTTCAGTTCTCGGGAATCTGAAAAGTGACAGAGCTGCTTTGTAAACCTGCTGTGTCTAAACCAGTGACGATTAACCTTGGCACAGAACTGTTTCCCATGGTCCTCAGTCAGTAAAAACATTTCTGGGATACAAACGTTAGCCATCACTGGTCTAAATTCCCAGTATCCCATGCGAGTGCTTGTAAAATCTCGTTTGACCATCCAACAAGTGATATTTTTTTTGTGTCCCAACATTTTCCATATTCTTCATGTGGACATAAATCGGTTTACCTCCCATATATAAGTATAAGAAATCATTTAAATTTTCATGCTGATAGGCAATACATGAAGTGTTACTCTATTCTTATTATTATTATTTTCGCCATTTATATAGTGCCAACAAATTCCGTAGCGCTTTACAATATTATGAGTGGGGGATTTAACTATAAATAGGACAATTGCAAGAAAACTTACAGGAACGATAGGTTGAAGAGGGCTCTGCTCAAACGAGCTTACAGTCTATACGAGGTGGGGTGTAAAACACATTAGGAAAGGAAATAGCAATCAAATAAGGTGGGAGTGAAGCAGAGCTGGAGGAGAGAGTAAAGTGCTGCCCTTTAAGAGAGGGCAAGAGACCGGTATGTGAGATCTGTTGTATGTATAATACACATGTTGGCGAAGGAAAATCGAAAAAGTAGGCTAGGCCATTCATTATTTTGATCTCTATTGTGAATGTTTTAATTGGTTTACCTCTTGTGCCTTATGTACAACACGGCAGCACTTTTCATTTGCCCCCATCACAATAAAAACATTATGTGATCAGGAGAAAATTATGGATCTGTCAAACTTTGGCTTATGGTGAATGGTTAGATTTGTTTATCGAGTGTGAAAAGTCCTATATGTTTTATTATATAATGTGGACTTTTGTGACTTTTTAGTTAAAGGAATACTCCAGACACAAGCTGTATTGGTTATGGTAGACCAACACTACCATAAACCGGTGCTTCCAATTGTAAATTGTCAAGTAACAGCTTTACTTCTTACCTGGGGTCTGCCAGACGCAGCTCCAGCCTCATCTCCATTACAAGTAAAGCTGATTATGAGCTTCCATTAGCTTTCTTGAGCAAAGCTCAGCAGTTCAGGGCCAACTCATTGGCTAAGTGTCAACTGATTGCTTTCAGTCAATGAGCTAAGCTCAGTACCACTGGGCTTAGCTTAGGCAGAGACCTTCCATCTCTCCTGTAGGGTGCCCAGCAGACTTCAAGTAAGAAGTCAAACCTAAAATGGGAAAACATACGGACATTTGAGACACAACAATCACTACAGTGAATTTTAGTGGCTATGGTGCTTGAGGTGTTTATTAATTTGGGCTCCTCCTTTCATTAATAACTAGCCTTTATATCTCTGGTAAATGTGTGATCCTGCGGTATTGAAATATTTTATCCACTTCTTTGGAATAAGCAATTTATGAATGGCTTTTGACTTGACTTGGACACAATGTCCACAGAAACCTGACTTTAAAGGACCACTATAGTGCCAGGAAAACATACTCGTTTTCCTGGCACTATAGTGCCCTGAGGGTGCCCCCACCCTCAGGGACCCCCTCCCGCCCGGCTCTGGAAGGGGGAAAGGGTTAAAACACCTTTTTTCGGCGCTGGAAGCACGGGAGGCTTCTCCTCCCTTCTCTCACTCTCAGTTTCCTCCTCCCCTGGGCTGAATGCGCCCCGCGCGGCAAACTGCTGTAACGCGTCAGCCAGCTCTTTTCTAGAAGCATTTTACAATGCTTTCCTATGGACGCTTTAACGTCTCACTGAAAATCACAATTGAGGCTGCATCTCAGCGCTAATGAGACAGCCACTAGAGGATTAGGGGGAAGGCTTAACCTATTCATAAACATAGCAGTTTCTCTGAAACTGCTATGTTTATAAAAAAAATGGGTTAACCCTAGAAGGACCTGGCACCCAGACCACTTCATTAAGCTGAAGTGGTCTGGGTGTCTAGAGTGGTCCTTTAAGCATTGTGCAGAGTTGAAAAAAGTGGTTAGTATTTTGTTACAATGTTTGATCTTTTTAGAATATTCCCACCGCTTCATCTGATCTACTAAGGCTTTTTGTTTGTCTTTTAAAAGCAGTCAGTAGTAGTGGGCAGCTGTGTGTTGTACCAACAGGTAATGTATTAAGGACTATTCATGAACACTGAATTGACCACGTTGAAAAATTTAGTTCAAGGTAACAGAGTTGGGAAACAACCAAAAACTTGTTTTTTGCCCTAAATGCTTACATTTTGCAATTCTGTGTTTCACGTTCAGTGTAGAAGTTATTTGTTGGTAACCATATAAATTTTTTAAATGTAGCTTCTACAGTGTAAGGAATACAAAGCTGTAATACAGTATAGATCCCTGAGGTTGCCTGAACCTACATTTAGTTCTGTCGAACAGACCCGTACCCCCTGTTCGGGAAACAAACACAACTTGTGTGGTCCCCCGCTTTATTGACTTAGAACACTGACCACCCCTGGCTGTTAACTGCAATTAAAGGATTAACTAGAGTGCTTTCCCTGGGTGGCTACCATTTTGTCTCCCGAACACAGGCAGCATGCATGGAACTCATTTCGGTTACACGTTCTTGCGAACCCCCGATTTAAGATGGTATTGCTGCCTGTATACTTTAGACGAACCACGTTCGGGAGATAGGATCTACCGACTGGGGGGAGTGTTCGCTACCTAAGAGCCAGGGGCATCGTTCGTTGGTGTTCGTACAGGAACTCCCGCACGAAGACTGGCCACTGCCCTGGATTCTCTGGAACTCTTTTGGGGGATCACCTCGTGGCTGGCTGTTAAAAACTTCTCTCGAATAGTAATCCCGTTCCACCAAACCAATCTAAGTGCTTGTCGGATATGTTGTGCGCTCATTGGGGGTATAAGAATTGTGGGGTTCCTGTAATGTTTTATGCGGCAAAGTATCCAATGATCTACTCGCTGCAAAATCACGTGGTCAATTCTCTATCCTAATTCTCCTTGACCTGTCTGCGGCTTTTGACACTGTTGATCATCAACAGCTTCTTTTTATCCTCCGCAATATCGGTCTACAAGATATTGCTCTCTCCTGGTGCTCCTCCTACCTCTCCTAGCGCTCTTTCAGTGTTTCTTTCTCTGGCTCTGCTTCTTCTCCCCAACTCCTCTCTTTTGGTGTCTCCCAAGGTTCAGTCCTTGGTCCCCTACTGTTCTCCATCTATATTGCCTCCCTTGGTAAACTCATTAGCTCCTTTGGCTTCCAGTATCATTTCTATGCAGATGACACGCAAATCTACCTGTCCTCTCCTGATCTCTCCCCGTCCCTCTTGACTAGTGTCTCTGACTGCCTCTCTGCTGTTTCTAACTGGATGGCTGCCCACTTCCTTAAACTAAACTTGACCAAAACTGAAATTCTGGTCTTTCCTCCCTCAAGTGTTGTTACTCCTGTGTCTGTCTCCCTACAAGTCAACGGTGCTACCATCAGCTGCACCACTCAGACTCGCTGCCTAGGTGTTCTCTTTGACTCCGACCTCTCCTTCAAGCCTCATGTTCAATATATCGCCAAATCCTGTCATTTCCATTTTAAAAACATTGCACGCATCCGCCCCTACTTAACGCCAGATGTGACTAAGGTGTTGGTCCATTCCACTGTCCTTTCTCGCCTTGACTACTGTAATCCGCTTCTCAGTGGTCTTACGTGCTCCCAACTTGCGCCGTTACAGTCCATAATGAATGCGGCAGCGAGGCTCATCTTCCTGTCCACCCGCACCTCCCATCCCTTACCCTTCTGTCAGTTCCTACATTGGCTTACTATAAAATATAGAGCTCAATTTAAAATTCTGGTTCTTGCTTTCAAATCTCTACATAATGCTGCTCCCACCTATCTATCCTCCCTTATACACAAGTATGTCAGGTCTAGGCCCTTACGATCTGCTGAAGACTTACCTCTATCTTCTGACCGTACTCCCACCTCTGATGCTCGCCTTCAAGATTTCTTGAGGGCTGCACTGTTCCTGTGGAACTCGCTTCCCTCCTCCGTTAGATGCTCACCCAGTCTCCACTCCTTCATAAAATCGTTAAAAACCCACTTCTTCATAAAAGCATATCAATAGTCAATTAAAGTGACTATAGTCACCTGAACAACTTTAGCTTAATGAAGCCCCTGCAGCCTCACTGCTCAATCCTCTGCCATTTAGGAGTTAAATCCCTTTGTTTATGAACCCTAGTCACACCTCCCTGCATGTGACTTGCACAGCCTTCCATAAACACTTCCTGTAAAAGCTTTCTTTATTGCAAGTTCTGTTTAATTAAGATTTTCTTATCCCCTGCTATGTTAATAGCTTGCTAGACCCTAGAGCCTCCTGTATGTGATAAAAGTTCAATTTAGAGATTGAGATACAATTATTTAAGGTAAATTACATCTGTTTGAAAGTGAAACCAGTTTTTTTTTTCATGCAGGCTCTGTCAATCATAGCCAGGGGAGGTATGGCTAGGGCTGCATAAACAAAAACAAAGTGATTTAACTCCTAAATGACAGTGAATTGAGCAGTGAAATTGCAGGGGAATGATCTATACACTAAAACTGCTTTATTTAGCTCAAGTAATTTAGGTGACTATAGTGTTCCTTTAAACTGTTAATAGCTCCTGACTGATTCCTCTTATGCAACTGTCACTAGTCTAATACTATCCTTACCTTTTTGTGTCATTTTACCCCACTCCCTCTAGCATGTAAGCTCATTGAGCAAGGCCCTCAACCCCTCTGTTCCTGTGCGTCCAACTTTTCTGGTTACAACTACATGTCTGTTCATCCACCCATTGTAAAGCGCTGCGGAATTTGGCACTATATAAATAACATAATAATAATAATAATAATAATTATTATTATTTTTGGGGTGTTTTGTGATATTTTCTGTATTCCTTGTAACTGAGCGATAATTGAGTTATCATATTTCCTAGCACAATTATCTCTCAGACCCAGAGACTCTTGGGGAAAACCCCTGTAAACTGCTGAAGAGATCCCATACTATGTGGTTGTGCATAAAAAGCTGTGTGTGGGCTAATAAAAATCAATTGACTCCAAGAAATGTGTGCCGTCCAGTTACTAGGGGAATGGGTTATAACCACTGAACAGCGTTTTTCAGCTCCCAAGGATTCCAGCGGAGATCTTAGGATTGCAGCTCTGCTACTGATCCCTCTTCCCATCCCCCTCCTGCACAGAAGGGGTTAAAAAAACCTTTTAACACAATTCTGACTCTGGGACTGTGCCCTGCCTCCTCCGTCAGGGGGTGGGGGCAGCGAATGCCGCAAGTCCATTAAGCCCACCCCTTAGGAAAGGATTGCTTTAATTCTTTTCTACAGGGATTTATGGAAGCTGGATGTCCTCATGCAGAGCGTGATGATGTCCACAGTCAGGGGGTCAAAAATCGTCTTGCCACCAGGAAGTGCCTCTAGTTACTGTCTGACAGCCACTAAAGGCAGTCTTAGTCCTGCAATGTAATCATTGCAGTTTCTAAAAAACTGCAGTGAGTTACTTTGCACCCAGACCACTTCAATAAGCTGAAGTGCTCTGGGTGACTATAGTGTCCATAATATATAGTAAACTGCATTCTACAATTTTCTAGACACTGCATTGTATAAGAGGAGTCTCTAACTGGGAAAAGCAGCGACAGTGTGAGAAACTTTTTGTTTGGGGACCTGATGAGCATGAAGTTTCTTCCCAACCACACGGACCCAGCTCTGCATCTTAAACCATAGGTTAAGAACAATTGATTTAGTGAATACATGTATGGGTTTCTGATTTTACCAAAATTTAGCAATATTGCACCATCCTTGTTATGGAGTGTCCCACTTCTGTTCTGCAAGTTGCTGGCCTGAACCAGCTGTGGAAGTCACAGAAGGAACTTGAAGCTCTGTAACTGACCACATGACAATGTTACTTTTTGCAAGTCACTGTGTCACTAGTCTGGAAACTAAATTAGCCTGTAAGTCATCACAAAGGGAAGTGATCAGGAAAGGAGCTATGTTTAACATAAATATTACTTCTGATTCCTTAAAACATCTTGGGGATTGTAGTTGTAAAACAGCTGTCTCTCTCTATGGGGCATATTCCTTCTTGAGTGATTTTAAAGAAACACTCCGGGTACCACAACCTCTGCAACACCCTGCAGTGGTCATAGTGCCAGGAGTGTCCTGGTGGATCGACATTATAAGTAGTCAAATCTGTTGCTAATGACTTGACTTCTTAGCTGGCGGCCTCTGACTGCCTGAGCTAAACCCAGCAATGCAGGTGCTAGCTTGTTGTCTGAAAGTGATCAGCTAATGCTCTCAGCCAATGAGCTAGCCCTGCTGTGCAGAGCGGAATCTTCTAGCTCTCATTACAAGAAGTGGAGCGTCAGGGACTGGAGGTTAGTAAAATACTTACCTAGGGGCTTCCAGGGCACTTCCGACACCATAACCATTACAACATGCTGTGGTTATGGCGCTTAGAGTTCCTTTCATAAATGCCAGCCATATAGCTTAAAGGGACACTATTGGGTCTATAACCATTTTATCTGATTGAATTGGTTATAGTGTCTGCAGTCATCTTTCACTCTCCCTCTATTGCTAAACCATTTTTAAGGAATAAAAAAATAATATACACAGGCCTCCACTGGAGGTAATACTAAGGCACAGACTACACACTTCCTAGTCATACTGATGCCGACCAATTGCTGCTCAGGTTAAAACTTGCTTATTAGCCCAAGCAGCACAGAGGAAATGGGCTGCTAGGCACTTTTGTTTATCATTTATAATGGCTGAAACGAATACCATAGCGTTAACAATACAAACCTGTAGTCATAGGGCTATAGTGCCCCGTCCCTAGTTATATGCAGATCATCTCTCACCCCCCCATGTGCAATAAACATTAATAAAATAAGTTTTACTTAACTTTTCCCAGGCATGGCTTCTTCCAGGGATGGTCCAATCCAATGCTCTTTATATAGGAGAATTGAGGACCTGACTCGTTTTGACCTTGGGCACATCTAAGCTTCTCCATAAGAAAGCACTGTATTCAGTGCTTTCCTATGAGCTTCCGTATCACATGACTGAGTTTTACACGGCCAGAGCAGCAGAAGAGCCTCTAGTGGCTGTCAGGAAGATGGTTAAATCCACTAGAGCTGGATTTAACCATTCAGTGTAAACATTGCAGTTCCTGCAAAGAAAAAAAAAACAGTGCAGTGTTTAAAGGACAGGACCACTACACCCATACCACTTCATTGAAATGAAGCGGTGTGTCTGACGTTTATATTTCTGCCTAGTAATACCTCTTGTGGCAGTCACTCAGAAGGCCACTAGAGATACTTCTTATACTTCTTAGTCTAGTGCATTACAACCTATGGGTACCTCCAGTGGCCACTCCTCAGAGGACCACTGGAGGTTCATTATGGGTCAGTGCGGCACTGACATCTCTGCATGGAGGCGCTGAATGTTCCCCATAGAGATGCAGTAATTCGGTTCATCTCTATGAGAAGATGCTAATTGGCACAGCGTAGTATTTTGCCAATCAAGCAGATGAGGAAAGCCTTCCAGTAAAAGGGATTTATTACATTTAAAACAATCAATAAATAAAAACAAATACTGAAGAATATCAGGGCAAAGCTTTCCTACTTTTTAATTGCAAATATTTTACAATCTCATACAGTAGGTCTATTCTTCTCCTATAGCTTTTCCTGACTTTGGCTAGTCCTACTTTTAATTCAGTAATTTTATTAATCCATGGACACCTGTGCAAAATATCATGATTTCAATCTGAGGAGCGCAAGCATGGCTAGTGTGATTTTATGGGGATTTTGCGGTGGTCCTCAGAAACAGTACTCAGAGTATGAACATGGTACAGCAGGAGAGAATCTGAAATAAATTATTATGACTAATGGTATATGTAAATGCGACTTATAAAAAAACATAACAAGTCTGTAATCTTTCCAATACACGCATTTACTCAGCATGAAAAACCCTGTATGATCCTATTGGTCCTACTAATTAGTCACAAATTGACACCACAAATCAAATTTGGACATATTTCTCTCAACAGTTTACTTCTCTGTAACTCCATTTCCGATGTCTAGTAAGGTTTGATATTTAAAACCATATTTAGCTATAGTTGTGCTCATTTTTCCTCTTCTTTGATCTCCTTATCTGTCATTGTCTCTCTGTAGAGAAGACAGATTTAAAGCCACCAGCCTTTCTGGTGTTATTTTGCAATGTGTCATGAACTACCAGCTGTGACTGTCAGGGTCACCTCTTATGAGCCACAGGCTATTTCTATTACCGTATATATTGTGTATCCTAGAGACTTAATGTGTTTTTGTGTCTCTGTCACAAGGTATTTGTAAAAACATTCACCAGGGAGGGGATGTACCTAGAAAGAGAGGGCCTTGGGTGCTATGATTGGACTTAAATCACCCGGCTTTATTCTAACACTCCATGCTGTACCATAGAGTTGCACTGATGTAAGACCAGTGCCCTGTTTGTCATGGTATTAAATTTACATACTGCTACATGACTTCTTTGCTCCCCCCTCCCCTCCCCTCCCCTCCTTGCCAAAGCCTCAGCTATATTTGGGAGTTTTAGCTGACGGGATGGTGATCAAGTTTAGCATATGCCCTCATACATAATTCTCATTTTGTAGCTGATCTGCGGCAAGAGTTCTGCCTCTGCTCTTCAGAGTCTCAGTGAAGTGTTTGGTGTTTTTCGAATTGTATTTTCCTTTGATAGCCGACTCACCGGTATGTTCTTGGTTCTTATAGCTACACCGGAACTGAAAGATTTCTTTGCAAAGGCACGCAATGGATCTATACGGCTCATTAAAGTGGTCATTGAAGAAGGTGAGTTGTGACTGATGAGATTGTGGTTTTGTGTACAAAGGTCTAAAAACAGAATTAGAACATGGAATTATAGTTATTAACCATTGAAGAAGTGATATCTGCACTATGTATAAACGTGGTAGCTGCAGGAATATACGTTTCGTGAGGATTATTCGCTGAACCGGAAATTAAGGAGAATTGCAAGCGAAATGAAATTTTAAGGCCAAAGTTTTTTCCAATTTGACTTTTTTAGCATAAAATTTTAAATTTCCTTCTCAATTATCCATAATTCCTGGTGTGAATAAATCCTTGTGTGAACAGAAGTTCAAATATAGAGTTTAAATGTACAAAATGCAGTTTCATATATGTAATACATTTAAGTAAAAAAAGTTTATTCATATTTTTGTGAGATTCTATTCATGAAAAACCAACAGATGCCTTGGTACACTGAGGAATACAAGTTTGTCTCTTTTAGTCTTTTTCCCTTTGGGAAGGAGGCTAGTGAATTTATCAGAATTGTTACCTACTGGAACGGTTTTAAGATCCTCATTGCTAATATACTAATGCATTTAATCATTGCCTTGTTTTACATTGTTTCATTTAAAACAGACAGCCTTGCCAGATTTATTTTTAAAGTGTGCCACCAGATCTCCAAATGTAATATATAAGGGTTGGGAAAAGAATGATGTAATAAGTAAACTATTCTTTGGGATATTTTCCCTATATTGGGGATTGTCAGCATAATTCAGCTTGTATACCAAATATTGCCAAGTTAGAAAAAAATAATAATAATCAGAATTCACGTTTTATAAGACTATTTTGTCTAAAATCTGCTGTTCCTTCGTGAATTCTCTACCTAGTTTGTTAAATACACCCTACATGAGTAAATGTATTCATATACTGACTAGAAGATATTTGTTAAATCCTGTTTTCAGTAACCACCCTGTTTGGGGATGCGTTTTTTTATTTTTATTTTTCTATGCCAACATATTTAGTATTATTCCTGCTTTATCTCATTATTGTTCTTCCTGTTCAACTTGTAAACATTTCCATTGTTTTGATTAAAGCATTAGGCCTGCTGATTTAACAGATTCTCCTAAGCTCCCCCTATTGCTGCTTTTATGACAATGAGATTGTCACTTTTTTGTTTAAAAAAATAAATAAAATAAAAAAAACCAAATCTTTAATTTCAAAGAAACAAAAACCCTCTGTACCTTGAAGAAAGTATGTTTTAAAGAAAATAGTCTCACCTTCCAGTATGTCCAGTCTCTACATTTCAAAACTTATTTTAGACCATTGGAATGTGTAAAAGTAGACAGAGAAGGCATATGCAGATGTGTCTGAGGGCTATCTGAGAGGGTAAATTTTGTTATTGGGGTAAATATTTTCTAGAAAGCCGAGCCAAAAGCCAGCTCATGGAAAATCTTTGTGAGACGGTCTGGAATGTGCCTGCTTAGAATAGCAAAGCGGGTGATAAACACATTGACCATTTCTACACAGGGAGACAGAGGATATCAGCTTCTCCTGGGAACAGACTCCATGAACAGTATTGCAAGGTCACTTGCACTATGTACCATTTCTTGCCCTCTTGACCTTAGAGATAGAAGAGATTTTCCTGATATTCTTCTTTGAGTATCTTGGCTTGTCTGTTCTTTTATCAAACATGTCCCCAAGAATAGAATTTAAGGACTTTCACCACCACAGTAAGCAAAATTCACCTGTGGTTTTTGAAACTCTGGCCTGTGGATGGGTCATGTAGACAGAAGTGAAATACAACACTTTAATCCCTTAAGGACCATTTAAAAAAATGTTTTATTACCATTGTGCTGCCAATTTATCACTAACTCAGTTCAATGATAAAACCAGCTGAATTACAGAAAAAAAACTTTCTTCAGTTACTTGTTGCCGCAACTCCAGTACCACAGGGGATTTGAATATGTAACACAACGTGGACACTTACATGATTAAATGTATCCCAGATCCTAATATTGCTGCTGGATTAATCCCATATGTAGAAATCACCAAAGCCAGCCAAACCATTCTCGCTCATAAGGATCTCAGAATAATCCACAAGTTAGACCATGGAAGGTGCATACTTTATTGTAAATAAAATAGTTAACAACATTCCATAAATATATGGGAAGACCTCATAGGTAACAGGCACTCCAAAATCTTTAAACACATGTCAATTAATTCAGAGTCCAGTGTTTGCAAAATACAAAAAAATGCAATAAAAGGAAATACCTGCACCTGCCAAAGGGGGTGGGGGGTCATGGGACAAAAATATGAAAAAACTTACAGTAACTCTGGACTTGTTTTGCGCTTTTCTTGACGCTTTATCAACATTATTCAGCCGTGATTTAAATGACCATTTTAGGAATTAAACCCTTTTTTGTATCAGTAATGTCCCCTACACAACTCTTTATCTACGCAGATTGATTAAAATTAAAAAACAGCAGATTTCTAATTGTTGCTACATACCTCTCCCATACTATTTCTGGACCTCACTAATATAATTTCCCTTTCTCTCTACTACCACCTATTAATTCCCCTGTATATTCAAACGCTAGCCACCATCCCTTCCTTTATTTTAATACTCTTTTCCATTTGCACTGCCTTCTAACCAATTTGTTTACGTGGTCATTTATTTCATTTGTGGATTCCCTTCCATTTTCCCCTTCAAACTTGCAGGATTATGCAATTGGCAGTTAGCTATCCTCATTGGGTACCCCAGGACACAGCTGCAATTGCCTGAGTGTGTGCTTCTATGACAGACCTAAGGTCCCAAAAACCTTACTGTGTTGGCTTTCACGTGTGCAAAGTTACAGCTGCCAACTTATAGGTTTATATATTTTGGGTGACGGTGCTATGTCTGTTTTATTTAGGTGTCTAGATGTGGCTATGTTGTCAGTATAATGATTTTCAGTTTTTTGCCTGCCTGCAGAACAGCTGATGTTAGGAGCTCATAAAGAACTCCGGCTAAACTGGGACCAAGATTATGATGCACTGGTGCTCCCGTTGCTAGATGAGACTGAGCCGTGTTATATCCTCTATCGCCTTGACAGCCAGAATGCCCAGGGATATGAATGGCTTTTCTTGTCATGGTCACCTGATAACTCCCCGGTAAGATGAATTGTTCCATTTCTATAACATTAAAATGATCCCCTATTTTTGAATAATGCCCAAAACCACAGCACTCTTGCACTGTAATAGTGATGGCTAAAACTGATATGACTGATGTTTCAGAATTCTAGTTTCAGAATTTCTGGTTTTTGCTGATTGAGCATTGTGAAACACCACCGCACTATACAAAACACTTTTATATTTGCCAAAGACTGTGGCCCATATTTATTATTATATTTTATTTCTGAAGTGCCACCACATTCCACAGTACTGTTTATGGCTACAAATAGTACAAGTAGACATACAAAGTTATAGTACACCTGAGACAATATAACATTTAACAAATGAATACAGGAAAAGTTGAAAGCGTTATTCCTGTGGATACTTTATATGGTACGAGGGGTGAGTAACACGAGGTGGGCCTGCAAAGGTGAGGAAGATGTTAATACAGAGTAAGATGAGGGCATTTATTGGTTAAGTGGGAATGCATTACTTGCTGGGTTGAGTGGTAGGCTTCCCTGAACAAGAATGTCTTTAGTGAGTGCTTAAAGGATGGCAAGCTAGGGGAATATCCAACAGAGCAGGGAAGTGCGTCCCAGGGGTTTGCTGCCGCACACGAAAAAATCCTGCAGTCTAACATGGGGAGAGGTTATAATCAAAGATACAAGTTGGAGGTCATTGTTTGATCTCAGGGGACGATGGGCTGGAGTATATTTGGGATTAGTGAAGACTTATGTGGGGAGCAGTATTAGTAGGGGAATTTTAGTGAGGACAACTAGTGGATAGCAACGTTAGAAAGGGCTTTATGTCAGTGTGAGAATTTTGAAATTGGTCCAGCTGTGCATGGGAAGCTAGTGAAACGTTTTACAGAGAGGTGCAGCAGGTATGGAACAATGGGTAAAGTGAATGAGCCTGGCAAAAGCATTCAGGCTAGACTGAAGAAGGGGGAAGCGGCATTGAAGAAGGCCAGTTAGTAGGTTATTTCAGTAGTCATGACAATACATTCAAAGGGATTGGATGAGTTGCTTAGTGGTGTCGGCGCTCAGAAAGAGACTCATTTTGGCTATATTGCGTAGATGGTTAAGAATTTTTTTTGTGAACCCAAGAGAGAGCAGTGTGGCAGAGGCCAAAATAAAAGTCTGTAGGAGGAGAGGGAAATCAACTGTGTCGAAGGCAGCTGAGAGGTCAAGTAACATGAGAATAGATTAGTGGCCAGTGTTTTTAGCAGAAAGAAGGTTTGTAACCTTGGTGAGGGCAGTTTCAGTTGCGTGTTGGGGACAGAAGCCAGATTACAGAGGATCAAGCAGGGAGTTGGAGGTCAGGAAGTGAGTTTAGTAGTTGTCAACTAGTTTTTCCAGGAATTTAAATGTTAATGCAAGCAATTTTCAGAAATATTACCTGTGCCGCGCGCTACAACAGAAAGGCAGCGGGAGATTAGAGAGGTCAATGCGTGGCTGAAGTCTTGGTGCAGGAAAGAGGGTTTGGGGTTTTTAGAGCACTGGGATGATTTTGCGCTTGGGTACAATCTGTATAGTCGTGATGGATTGCACCTAAATGGAAGAGGGTCTGCTGTGCTGGGGGATACGATGGCTAGAAAGTTGGAGGAGATTTTAAACTGGTAGTAGTGGGGAGGGTCATAGCAATCTAGAAAATGGAGATAGGATATGTGCTTTATCTCCGTATAAGGGGGGTGGAGATGGCGGGACGGGAAAGCTCAAAACAGAGGAGGTATGTAATATTGATGAAAATTCACAAAAAGTACAAATGACTCATGATCATATTAAATGTATGTTTACTAATGCAAGGAGCCTATATTACAAAATGGGGGAACTAGAGACAATAGCATACACTACTAAACAGTATGATATAATAGGCATAACCGAAACATGATGGATTGAGACACATGACTGGGCAGTTAAAGGACCACTATAGGCACCTAGACCACTTCAACGGTCTGGGTGCCAGGACCCTCCAGCTTTAACCCTGCAGCTGAAAACATGGCAGTTTCAGAGAAACTGCTATGTTTACACTGAGGGTTAATCCAGCTTCTAGTGGCTGTCTTAACAGCCACTAGAGGCCGCTTCCGCGATTCTCACTGTGAAAATCACAGTGAGAAGACGCTGGATGTCCATAGGAAAGCATTGAGTAATGCTCTCCTATGGGCTGGTTGAATGCGCGCGCGGCTCTTGCCATGCATGCACATTTGACGATGACGTCAGCAGGAGGAGGGGAGTTCCCCAGCGCTGGGGAGCCTGGCGCTGGAGAAAGGTAGTGGCTGAGTGGAGGGGGGCCATGAGGGTGAGGGGTCCTAATGACCCTATAGTGCCAGGAAAATTAGTTTGTTTTCCTGGCACTATAGTGGTCCTTTAACTTAAATGGATACACGTTATTTAGGAAGGATAGAAAAAACAAGAAGGGTGGTGGGGTATGTTTGTATGTTAACCATGAGTTAAAGTCAAATCTTAGGCATGTGGAGTGTGACGAGGAAAATGTGCAAGCTTTATGGGTAGATATCTGCTTGGAGCAAACAAAGGGAAATAAATTATTTGTTGGAATATGTTATAAACCACCTAATGTTAATATTATTATTAATAATATGAGGAAGAACAGCTGTTAGAGCAAATTGGGTAAGCTGCAAATTGGGGTAACACTTTAATTATTGGAGATTTTAATTACCTGGACATAAATTGGGATAGAGTGACTAGTATTTCAGCAAGGGTAATCAGGTTTTTGAATGTGTTAAATGACATCTTCATGTCACAACTGGTACAAACGCCAACTAGAAAGGATGCTTGTCTGGATCTCATTATAACCAGCAATGTTGATCTTTTGACCAACATTCAAGTCGGGGAGCATTTGGGAAATAGTGATCACAATATGGTAATTTTTAAAATAAACTCAAAAAAGCGAAAAGCACATGGGGTATACTAAAACGTATAATTTTAAAACCGCAAAATTCAATAAGATAAGGGCAGCTTTACAACATATCGACTGGCATAAACTCCTTGATGAAAAAAACACTGAGGGTAAATGGAAACTATTCAAACAAATATTAGAAAAGTACATTTTTTACTATGTACCATTGGGTAATAAATATATAAAAAAAAAAACAAATTGAAACAAATGTGGCTTAGTAAAGAAATAAAACAACATCGGATGAGCAGATGAAAAGACCCGTACTGCCGGCGGCTAGCTCCGGTGATGACGCTGATAAAGAAGACCCTGCAGAACCCACTCAACCTGGCGGACATTTGCAAAAAGATGCTAGACCCTTTTTATGTTTAAAGCACATCTTGCAGTTCCTCACCTTACTGTTGGGACGTCTCATCTTCCCACATATCATTGGCGTGTCTAACGATATTATTACTCAAGCGATGATATGTTATCAGCCATACAAATAGTACACGTTTATTGTTAGTCTCTCTAATAACTAATCATACTGTTCTCTCACGGTGTAAACTCTGCTATGAATAATCGCTATAAATAGCTTAATAATCTACATGTAGATTCTCTTGAGCAACTACCAGTACACCTAGCATAACCTGCAATAGGAACACCTCACTCTATAGCACTAAACTTATATTTCTCTGCTATGTTTAATCTTGTACTTTACCTTCTATATGCAGCAACACAGAACAACACTTAGATAAGCAATGTTATTATATATAAAATTGTGCAGTATCCACTAATGCCTAACTACTGTCAAGCTATGTTGAAAAATGCTTACTCTAGCTGTTGTGGCATTGTAAGCCAGTTGTGAATTATGTATGCACAAATAAAATAAAGAATTTAAAAAAAAAAAAAGAAATAAAACAAGAGATTGAAAATAAGAATAGGGCATTTAAAGCATTTAAATCGGACAAATCAGAGGCATCCTATATAAGATATAAGGAAGCAAATAATGCTTGCAAAAAGGCAATTAAAGTGGCTAAACTAGAAATTGATAGCCAAAGAATGCAAAACCAACCCCAAACATTTTTTATTTTTTTTTAAAGACTTCAATTCTAAAAAAAAAAATGAAAAATGAAAGTGTAGGTACACTGTAAACAGAGATCAGTCTGTTAGCTAATGAAGACAAGGAAAAGGCAGAAATTTTAAATAACTATTTTTTCTTCAGTATATATTAATGAGGATCCTATGGCAAGAGATATGCAAATGATTGCTGCAAAAAACTGGCAGATAACTTGTGATTGGATGATTCGAAACAAGGTTTCTACAGCAGTTAAAGAAAATTCATATAGATAAAGCTCTGAGGTCTGATGGTATTCACCCACGAGTACTTAAGGAGCTAAGTGGGGAAATAAGTGAACCTCTGTATTTAATTTTTCAAGATTCTTTTGTTTCAGGTATTGTACCAGAGGATTGGAGGAAGGCAGATGTCGTTCCTATATTTAAAAAGGGTTCAAAATCCTTGCCTGGAAATTATAGACCTGTGAGCTTAAACTTCTGTGACTGGGAAAATAGTTGAAGGGCTATTAAGGGATAATATTCAGGAATTCATTGGGAAGAACTTTGTTAGCAATAATCAGCATGGTTTTATGAAACATAGGTCATGTCAAACTAACCTAATTGCATTCTACAAAGAAGTAAGTAGAAGTATAGATCAGGGTGTTGCAGTGGATGTGATCTACTTGGATTTTGCCATTGCTTTTGATACGGTTCCTCACATTAGGTTAGTCTTCCAACTAAAAGAAATTGGTCTAGATGATAATTCTTGTTCTTGGGTAGAACATTGGCTTAAGGATACCTGTTCTAAAGAATATCATGGCACTATAAAAGTGCAGAGACGCGTTACAAAATTGATAAAAGGAATGGAGCATTTTAGTTAAGAAGAAAGGTTAAAATGTTTTAATTTCTTTAGTTTGGAAAAATGGCGCCTCAGAGGGGATATGATAACATTATACAAATATATTCGGGGCCAGTACAAACCATTACCTGGAAATCTATTCATAAACAGGGCTATACATAGGACACAAGGTCACGCATTTAGGCTGGAAGAAAGGAGATTTCATCTAAGGCAAAGAAAATGTTTTTTTAACAGAGCAATAAGGATATGGAATTCTCTGTCTGAAAAGGTGGTTTTGTCAAAGTCAATACAGATGTTTAGACTGCAATTGGATAAATACTTGCAATAACATACAGGGATATAATTTCTAATTAGTGGGGTAATAGCTGCTTGATCCAAGGAAACATCTGACTGCTATTTTGGTGTCAAGAAGGAATTTATTCCTAGTTTGTTGCAAAATTGGAAGCGCTTCAGACTAGGTTTTTTGCCTTCTTTTGGATCAACAGCAAAAACATATGTGAGGGAGGCTGAACTTGAGGGACGCAAGTCTCTTTTCAGCTATGTAACTATGTAAGCAGTAATATATGGGGTAGTTTGTAGGAGAATTAGGGTCAAAGGAGGGTTCCTTGATCATGGGAGTGACATTTGCATGTTTGAAAGAGGGTGGGACCAAACCAGTAGAATGGGATAGGTTGAAGATGTGTGGGTGAAAGACAGAGAAGGCATTAGATGTTGAGGGATAGGGTCAAGCAGACTTCTTTCTTGAAGCACAAAGTAAAGAACAAACTACATCCTCTCTGGCTGGGGGGAAGAAGCAGAGAGTTGCAGTGGGGATGATTGGAGGTGGAACATTGCAAGCTAGTGTTGTTTCTGATAGTGTTTTTTTTTTTTTCTCTTAATGCTCTGCAAGGTCTTGAGCAATTATGTTTGATATGAGATACAGTCAGGTTTTCTTGAGTTAAATGTTTTTAGATGTGTTCATTTAGCCTTCCAACTTTTCAGTGGTGCGCAATTGCATAAGTCCTTTAGCATGCTCCATTGTGCCTTTTAACCTTGGTAGTGACTGCTACACTATGAATTCAGCAATTTTTGAAACATAATCTTCTCTGGCTAAATCAGTACTTTTATTCAAGTGCTTGTTTGGTTTGTATCTTTCTCAGTTTATCTTCCCTTTTAGAAAAGTTTAGATTTATTTTTGTCTGCAAAATGCGGACAAAGTAGAATGAGGATTGGAAGTGAGCCCACAAGCTTCATAGAAACAGGCTTTATTCACTAAATTGAGAAGTGACAATGGAGCCTGCAAAATTTAGAGTAGAATATGTGAGCTTAAAGTGAAAAAATTACCTTACCTGAAATTGCTTCCATATACATTGAATACACCATACAGTGAGGGAAAAAAAGTATTTGCTCCCCTGCTGATTTTGAACGCTTGCCCACTGACAAAGAAATGATCAGTCTATATTTTTAATGGTAGGTGTATTTTAACAGTGAGAGACAGAAAAACAAAAAACAGAAAAACGCATGTCAAAAAAGTTATGAATTGATATGCATGTCAATGAGTGAAATCATTTTTTGACCCCTTCGACTTAGTACTTGGTGGCAAAACCCTTGTTGGCAATCACAGAGGTCAGACATTTATTGTAGTTGGCCACCAGCTTTGCACACATCTCAGGAGGGATTTTGTCCAACTCTTTTTTGGAGATCCTCTCCAAGTCATTAAGCTTTTGAGGCTTACATGTGGCAACTCGAACCTTCAGCTCCCTCCAGAGATTATCTAAGGGATTAAGGTCTGGAGAATGGCTAGGCCACTCCAGGACCTTAATGTGCTTCTTCTTGAGCCACTCCTTTGTTGCCTTGGCTGTGTGTTTTGGGACATTGTCATGCTGGAATACCCATCCACGACCCATTTTCAATGCCCTAGCTGAGGAGAAAGAGATTCTCACCCAAGATTTGACGTTACATAGCCCCGTCCATCGTCCCTTTGATGCGGTGCAGTTGTCAGGTGCCCTTAGCAGAAAACCGCCCCTAATGCATAATGTTTCCACCTCTATGTTTGACGGTAAGGATGATTTTCTTGGGGTCATAGGAAGCATTTCTCCTCCAAACAAGGCGAGTTGAGTTGATGCCAAAGAGCTCGATTTCGGTCTCATTAGATCACAACACTTTCACCCAGTTCTCCTCTGAATCATTGGCAAACTTCAGACGGGCCTGTTCATGTGCTTTCTTGATTAGGGGGACCTTGCGGGCGCTGCAGGATTTTAGTCCTTCACAGCGTAGTGTGTTACCAGTTTTTTTTTTTTCTTGGTGACTATGGTCCCTGGTACCTTGAGATCATTAACAAGATCCTCCTGTGTAGTTCTGGGCTCATTTCTCACCGTTCTCATGATCATTGAAACTACACGAGGTGAGATCTTGCATGGAGCACCAGACCGAGGGAGACTGACAGTTATTTTGTGTTTCTTCCATTTGCGAATAATCTCACCAACTGTTGTCACCTTCTCACGAGCTGCTTGGCGATGGTCTTGTAGCCCATTCCAGCCTTGTGTAGGTCTACAATCTTGTCCCTGACATCCTTGGAAAGCTCTTGGTCTGGGCCATAGTTGAGAGTTTTGCAATCTAATTGATTGATTGCTTCTGTGAACAGGTGTCTTTTATACAGGTAACGAGCTGAGATTAGGAGCACTCCCTTTAAGAGAGTGCTCCTAATTTCATCTTGTTGCCTGTCTAGAGGCACCTGGGAGCCAGAAATCTTGCTAATTGGTTGGGGATGAAATATTTATTTTACTTATTGACATGCAAATCAATTTATAACTTTTTTGACAAGCATTTTTCGGGATTTTGTTGTTATTCTGTCTCTCACTGTTAAAATACACCTACCATTAAAATTATCTATGTGGGGGGTTAAAGGTGTTTAAAAAAACAAAACACTTCTTACCTTTAATGAAAAATGGTAACGTGCGGCAACACTTCACACAGCTTGCTCGCGGGAGGACAGGGGAGCTGCTTCACATACCCCTCCCGACACGGAAGCAGAGTAGGCGCCTGCCGTTTCGGGCAGACAGGTGCCTACTCTGCATTGATGGCGAACCTAAGGCTGCGTGCCGACAGAGAGGTTTGCCATCACTGACCTAGGCTGACAAAAAGACTTGCATCCATCAAGTTCAGCCTTTCTCATGTCTGTTTTTTCTGTTGATTCAATACATTGGAGGGGTTTATGATGAAGCAAACCTGCCATGACTGTTTCATTTTAAAGGGACACTATAGTCACCAGAACAACTACAGCTTATTGTATTCTTCTAGTTAGTATAATGATTCCCTTGAGGCTTTTTTTCCTATGGAAAATCATTGTGATTGGCTGAGAGAATCACTTCTGATGATGTCAGCCAAGCAGGCAGGTCAGAGGCAGGGCCAGCAGCAGACGACTGAACTAAAGGTTAGATTTTACTATATTTAGGGAGGGCCAGGGGATGCTAGATGGTGTTTGTAAACACTATAGGGTCAGGAATACATGTTTGTGACCCTATATGGTTCCTTTAAGTTCTAATTAGCCGGAAACAATTAAAGCAAAAGATGACGTGAATATTTTATTTGTGGTGGTATGGTCTAATAAATACCGGTAGGTGTGAAGTACTATCAAAGGGGTTTCTTCATTAGTGCAACAAAAACCTCTTTGTCATCAAATCTTTACCCTGTGACAGGAATTAAAATGATTATTTATAAAACCACATGTGCCACAGCTCTGCTCCGTGGATAAATAAATCTACATAAAATTTATGGCCACAGACATAACTGAGAACAATCTCTGCGGCATGTTGTTGGACTCATTCATTAGTAAAGGTTAGCTGTTGTAAAGGGAGAGTGTGTCCTTTGCCCAACGTGTATAAAATATTTTTAGCTCGGACCACAATTAATATGTATCCACAGGATGAGGGTTTTGTGTTACTACTTGCAGAATATAATGTTTTGTGCTTTCTGACAGGTGCGATTGAAGATGTTGTATGCAGCTACACGAGCAACTGTGAAAAAAGAGTTTGGGGGCGGGCACATTAAGGATGAAATCTTTGGAACGCTGAAGGTATGTCATTGAGTTTACTGTATTTGTTTGATTAGAAAAGAACAGTAAACTGCTTGAACAATCATGCAACCTATACCTCATTCGTGCCAATTATTTAATTTAAAGGTATATTAAGCAATGAGACAAACTCATCCTAAGGACTTATTCAATAAACAGTGAATTGTGGTGATATTTTAAAAAATAAAATGGAAAAAGTGAGACTCACAGACCTAGCTGTGATTTAAAGGGACACTATAGTCAACAGAACAACTACAGCTTATTGAGTTTGTTGTGGTAAGTAGAATCATTCCCTTCAGGCTTTTTTTTGCTGTAAACACTGTCTTTTCAGAGAAAATGCAGTGTTTACATTACAGCCTAGGGATACCTCCACTGGCCACTCTTCAGCACTCTTCAGGTGGCTGCTAGAGGTGCTTCCTGCGGCAGTGCCGCACTGCCATTTAGTGTCTCCACTCTCTGCATGGAGACACTAAACTTTCCTCATGCATTGATTCAGTACATCTTTATGAGGAGATGCTTATTTTTCAGGGCTCTGTTTAGATTGTGATGCCTCCTTGACAATATCACTCAATCCAATGCTTTTGTATACGAATGCATTGTAATTGGCTAAGATCACCACTTTTGATGATGTCCGCCAAGAACGAAGATCATGGGCAGAGCTTGCAGCAGCAGACTGGAATAAAGTTAAGATTTTACCATATTTAGAGGAGCAGGAGTGGCAGAGGGGGTTAGATAGTTGTTTGTGTTCCTGACCCTATAGTGTTCCTTTAATGAATAAACGGAATACTACTAAGAGTTTGGGGAAAAGGTGAGTATAGGTGAATACCAGAAAACATTTTTCCCATCCTTTCAATTTATGCTCTTCCCTCACTTCTTTTCCTTCTCTTCCTTCCCATTTTTCATTTTCTATTCCCTCCCCATTTAAAAATAGGTCTTTCCCCACCTGTCAATTCTTTGGAATAGACAATTGTGCTGAATAATTCTGTTCCTTGGGGGGCGGAGCTTACCAGCCGAGCAAGCCGGACGCTCATGGTGGGAGCTCCCGCATCGGAAGCCCTGATTCAGGGCTTTACGCCTGACCACCGGATCGTGCCGGCAGCGGACAACCACCCTCACATCCAGAAGAGAAGGCTGAGTCCGGAGACACCCGATTCAGGGCTCTCCGCCGCGGGAAAGCCCTCATCACAACTCGCGGCCTGCACAGGTGGGAGCCGTGGAGAGACGGCCGCTCTCCCGGTTCTCAGGCTGAAGAGGGGACACTCACACACCACTTCCCCCCCCCCCTTTGGACCGGTGGGGGATATCCCGGTCCCCACCAATACGAGCAACATCAAGTCAGGACAGCATAGCAGACGCCACTGTACTTCCAAGCAGAATGGAAGCAGAGGCGCCCAAGATGGCGGAGGAGCTCAGCCTCACTTCACGTGGCATGCTGCAGCCACAACACAGCAAAGACAAGCAAACAACAAAAGGGAGAAAGAGGGCGAACCATGGCACAAGCAACACCCTTGCCACTCCACCCAAACACACCCAGGAGTTCTTTGACCGACTCTGCTCCAGTTTATGGTCACAACTCCGGCATAAGGTTCGGCCCTTTAAAGAAGCAGTCCAAGTAATAGCATTATGGGTCCGACCAGCTACCAGGCGGCAACTTTCTATGTACCCACAGCGAGCCCCCAGGGCGGCCTCCAGAAGGGGACGAAGGCAGAGAGCAAAGCAACGAGTGGCGATGGATTGCCCCTCGGGCGCCAGCACTCTTCCTCTCAAGCGACCACAAGCGACGGAGGAGGCCCCCGAACAAACGCCTGCACAGCCCCAGCAAAGCCTCACCTCACACAGACAAGATGGCAACCGAGCTCAAGCGATGGCTCACAACCGGAATGGCACAGCCGCTGCACAGGAGATAACCCCTACACAGAAACCCTCGAACAGCTCACAGACCTACACTGAAAGCCTGCCGACCTCTGGTATCGGGTAAATGGGGACACTAGCAACAAAATGGCAGTCTGATATGCCACTGTGTTCGGTCAAATGACTAACTAGCACCCCTAGTACGGTTCATGCCAACCTACCAATATTGCGCACACAGGAACACCCAAATCGGCTTTGTAGTCACTGTTATTGAACCTTGTTTATTGCATATTTTAAATGTGTACAATTGAAAAAGTTTGCATTGTGATGCGTTAGGTGATATAAGTTCTCTATCCTTCTGCTTACTCTAACTAAAATGTCTGAGCTTACAGGTATGTCTGTCGCTCTGCTGCTCTCTGGTGGATAAACTTAATTAAGCTTATAGAAATCAGTTATTAATAACGACCTTAACTCGTGTCTTAACGACAAAAAGCAACTAACTATTTTGTTTTTCACAACGTTTGCCCAGCATGAATGCCGACTTAGATATGTTTAGCGACAGTTATCTTGATGCATTTTACTTAATCTCACGCTGACGACGCAACTGTTTAACCAAACTTGTTAAAATTTTAAAAATGTGCAGACTCTCATGCCACTGTTATACCAATGTATGTTTTCCAATACGCTGTTGTGGCGTCTGTTGATTCCTTGTACCTACCTGCACAGCAAAAATAAAGAATTTAAAAAAAAAATAAAAAAAAATAATTCTGTTCCTTGAAGAGAATGTGAGACCTCCTACATGCAGAATTGTTATCAAATGTATAGATTGGAAGAAAATACTCCCTCCCCCCCTTTTTTCTTTCAACAGGAAGACATTGCTCTTAGTGGATACCAGAAGCACGTCTCCTCTTGTGCAGCACCAGCTCCACTCACGGCAGCAGAGCGGGAATTACAGCAAATTAAAATAAATGAGGTGAGTGGCAAGTTAAACATGGATTGCTTACAGGTAACTCCATAAAACTGGCAAATATAAGGGATTTAATTTCATTTGTTAGCTCTTTGTAGATAGTAATAATAATTCAACTATTTTGCTTCTGCTCATTTTCACCCAGTGAAAGATAATTGGCTTATTCCTTACTTTTAACATGATTTGTGTTGTCAATTCTTGTTATTCTAGTTCAATTCTCTCTCTGATGCAATGTATGGCTCAAAAAAAAAAAAAATCATCATTTTGTTTTGATGAACTCTTGTGTTTTTCTCTCCTAGGTAAAAACAGAGATTAGTGTGGAGAGCAAACAACAAACTCTACAAGGACTTTCCTTCCCTCTGAGACCAGAGGCGGAAGAGGCCATCTTGCTTCTAAAGCAGAAAAAAATCAATTATATACAGCTGGTAATGAAGCTTCACTATCTCCATCCACTTAGATTGCTAACTTAGAATCTCCTTCTGACTTTGCAGACAATCTTCAGTTTTTACCACCACATTGGGACTACCTTCTTTCGAGTCTTACCTTCCCATTAATCATGTTCTCGTTTTCATATTGTTATTTGCTACTGTCCTTGCCCTGTTTCTTTTTCACTATTCCTGCCTCAATGCCACTTCAGAGGCTTTATATTCCGTTACCTCGTCCCATCTATGTCTCATTCAACATTATTCTTTTCAGTGAGACTGCACACAGCAACTTCTTTTTCTATGTTTATCGTATTGTTATCATTCTTGTAGAGACTGGATTTAGAGAAGGAGACCATTGATTTGGTGCACACAAAGCATACGGAGATCAGAGACCTTCCATCTAGAATCCCACAAGATACAGCTCGTTATCACTTCTTCCTCTACAAACACTCCCATGAAGGTGACCACTTGGAATCTGTGGGTAAGTCCATGACTCTGTGGTATTGTTAGATATATTCTAAAATCTGCCTTTTAGTCTGTAAGGACTTCTTGTATGAAGGGATCTTTGGCTCTATTATCAGGACACCTCTCTGTCTTCCTGCAGTGTTTATTTACTCCATGCCGGGATATAAATGCAGCATCAAAGAGAGAATGCTTTACTCTAGCTGCAAGAACAGACTTCTGGAATCTGTAGAGCAGGCTTTCCAACTGGACATTGCAAAGAAGGTAAACCTTTCCATACTTTTCATCTTGCAAGGTGATTCTATAAGACACAGTGACATGCAACAAGATCTGGAATGTCATCAAGCAATTTTAAAATACATGCTTCTCTTATAGAAGCATTAGTTAAAAAAAAAAAAAAAAGAATACTGTGCATTTGAAATTGCACACTGTGAAGTCACTAGTGGCCTTTCTCATGAAATCAGAAAAACAAACTGTAATTAGGTCCTTTTCTGTTGTTAAAACTTAGCAACAAATAAAAGGTATATTCTTCAGTACCTGTGAGAGGATTTTGCAGACTGAGGACCTCTCTAGACACAAGTTAATGTCTGTGCACTCTATTGCTGTTGGTGTAAATCAGTAGAGGTGTGAATAGCACAATTGCATTAAAGGTGTCACTTTTACACCATTCAGGCCAAAATCTAAAATCATCTTTTCCCTTTGTTAAAGAAATACACTTTAGTGTAACTTTAACAATGTGTGGGGCCTGTTTACATCGGAGTAGTTACAGGTTTAATCCATCCAAACTACAAGATAAAAGTATATTGCTTTCTGCAACACAGCTGACCAAGATGGAGGTACAATGTGTTGTGTTGGCATGACAGACTACCTTTAAAGCACTTCTGTTAAAACACAATGGGATGACATCCACAGTGATTGTTGCCAAGAGGTCAGACAAGGGATTGGAAAATGTAATCTGGTTTTTGTTCATTTTAACGTAGAGTTACTTTATTTTCCTTTATGCTATGTATATTTTAATCTTGTGAATTGGGGACATTATAGCAGAAATTATAATCACAATGGTTTTATGGTGCTGTAGTAGCGAACCTAGGACTTGCAGGTCCCATAACCGTATTTGAATATAACAAAGGAGCATCAATATGCAGTAAACATTTAGTCAGAGAACACATGAAGTGGTACATCGTATCAACGTGTGGGTCATGTGGTCTAGCTTGGTAATCTGGTTTTTGAATCCATATCCAACATTCCATATTAAGCACCAGTCTAGGATAGAACACAGCCATATGTGAACACCCAGATCTGTTAGGCAGGCTGGTATGTAGAACCAATGATATTGCTGATGAGCTTAGTTATATCATTATTGGCTCTTTATCGTTGCAAGAAAAACAAAATTAAATATTGTTGGGCAATGGTCACCTTACATAATTATTGTTCATTAGGTAGTAGTCTATGGAGTCATCAGTCCTGTGTCTGTTTTAAGTAGCTTGGCAAAAAAATGTAATTTTACATGTCCACATTAGCAAAAAAAAAAGATGTCAATTGTATCTATATTCAAATGACAATGACATGCTGTTCTTCTATAGTCTTGTTCTTGAAACACCAGTACAGCATCAAAATCCCTCTGTACAACTGCTGTCATTTTTTTTTTTCCTTTCAGGTTGAAATTGAAGATGGCGCTGAACTAACCCCCGAGTTCCTCTATGACGAAGTTCACCCCAAGCAACATGCCTTCAAACAGGCGTTTGCCAAACCAAAAGGACCTGCAGGGAAACGAGGCCAAAAACGCCTTATAAAGGGGCCTGGTGAAAACGGCGAGGACAATTAAATGTAGGACTCACATGTTCCTTGTGGAACTGCCAAGTCATGCCAGAATCGTCTTCTACAATGTGCAAGGGCCGCTGTGGTTCATTTTGCTTTTCTGCCATCATACAAGATGAGTTGGTGTGTGGGACGCCAGGGCAATGCCTGCTTCCTTCTTATTCCTTTTGTTTTCTTAAGTTGTAGCTTTCTTTTTCCCCTCCCATTTCTCCTTGATAACTAGCATTCTCTTTTCCTGCATCAAACCCAGATTCTTGATATACTTGAACACAAAAGATCCCTCTGTACATACATTTCATTGGCATGTTACTATACACATTTCACACGCAGCCTGTGTGATCTCTTTAATATAGAACAATAGTTGTCAAACCTGCATAAACAATGGTTGGTTCATCAATCCTGAGAGGAGCAACTGTTACAATTACGCGATATGCCCAGAACATTAAATTTAACCCCCATCAGAAACATTGACTTATAATGCTGCCTGGATAATATATTTAGTGGTTCATTGGAGTTTGAGGAAAGCCGACATCATGCAGTATTTTAGTCGGTGATTGAGTTTTGCACAATATAAAGGATTAATAGAAATATTCCTTCCAGGATGGTCAGTGGTGCCTTGCAAAGATTGTAGCTTATTGTAGCTTCCACCAGTGGCAGGAGAAGGGTTAATGAAATGCTATTATTTTTTTATTATTATTAATTGGTGTAATCCCAAGCTTATATAACATGGGACATTATAAGGACTGAATATGATGTTTGGGGTTATCCACTAAATCGGGACTTGTGAAGAATTAGGGAAATTGCAATGGGAATTTTACCCCAAAATAGCCAAGTCGTAGAGCTTTTCCAGTTTTATTATTTTTGGCCTGAAATGTGCTGTTTTCTTGCTAATTCTCCACAATTCCCAGTTTCTTGTTTCTCCCCTGGAATGTTTGCTGCTGGATTTCTTTAATTGCTATTAATGTTATCCTGGACGCTTATGTTTGTTCCTGGTGGTGGTGTACATTCCAAACTCCGTTTATGGAAGATCAGAGTCTGCCTAGGAAACCATGTTCAGCACATTTATCTCCTCCTCTGCTCCTAATTTTCTAAGAAAAAAAAAAAAAAAAGAAAAGAATAATAATAAAAGTGATTTACTTTTTTTTTTCTAGAATATAGTGGCTTTTCTTTAATAAACAGGACCATGAACGGCAAAGGAATGACCACATATTTATGCATTATAATAACACTGTATGGTGAGATGATAAGCTTAAATACATATAACTTAGGTGCTAATACTCCACAGCACTCCCTCAAATACCCAAGCAAAATGCAATGTGATAAAAAGGAGATTGCACACTAGATTGCTCCTAAGAGATACACATAAATGTTTTATTAAACCACACAAGGTATAACAAACACAAAGCAAAACATCTTAAATTAAAGTGACAACAATAAGGCAAATAAATTAAACAATGGCAATAACCACATCTTACACAAGCCTATTCTGGCAGAAACACGTGCTGCTAATACCCCCCAACATTTCGGCACCTCCTGGCTGCCTTTCTCAAGGGTGCTTGAGAAAGGCAGCCAGGTTGTGCCAAAATGATGGGGGTATTAGGGGCTCGTGTTTCTGCCAGAATAGGCTTGTGTAAGTTGTGGTTATTGCCATTGTTTAATTTATTTGCCTCATTGTTGTCACTTTAATTTAAGATTTTTTGCTTTGTGTTTTATTAAACCACACCAGGTATAACAAACATTTATGTGTATCTCTTAGGAGCAGTCTAGTGTGCAATCTCTTTTTTTATCACATATTTATCCATGACACAAATCACTACAAAAAGAAAAAATGGTGTTTGTTTTTATTTTAACATAGAATTGACCTGGATGAAGTGTAACCTTCCAGCTCCAATTGTGGACATTGTGGCTCAATAGTAGAAGATGATATGACGACTTCAACTCTGCATCATTTTCTATTCTACTAATAGTCCTTGTAACCACTGTAATTTAAGTTGTATTTATATTTCACATTACCCCTATTACTGGATATGTGGAGTAATTCATGCTAAGTACAGTTAATTCACTCCTACACACAAATCCACAACGATGTGTAATTGATGTTGAAATCCATTTTAAAAACGCATTAATTGGATGTAGAGAGGAGTGGGCATTGAAAACCTCATTGGGAGTTGCAGTCGATGAGGAATGGACAGGGCAGTAATGGCAGTAGGGAGGAGAGGGAATTGTCTAACAAAATACCGGTAGTAGTAAACCATTTCCCACTTGTGAAGTAGCAGTTCTCCTTAGATTTCATAGGTCTGGCAGGCTGCGGCAGTATTGGGTCCAAACAAGAGCAATCTGTATGGAACATTTCAAAAAAATTTAATAGATTGTCCTGTTTATATCTCCAGCCCACTAGTTCTTAACCCAGTCATCAAGGAACACCATCTGCACTGGTTTTCTCTGTATTTCCATTTGGACAGAATTTGGAAATACTTGACGGTTGGTGTGCATCACACAACTGTGACCAGTCAACGTGGAAGTTGGGTCCACAGACATATTTTTAACAGTTTAGTAGATATAACACATTCATGCAATGTAGAAATCCGCACATTTATGAAATAAACCAGGGAAACACATTGTTCACTTATGAGAGACTTCAGCACATGGATTGCGCTTTGTGTTTCGAGTGTTCGTTTAAAGCATGGATGTCCAATCTTTTGACTTCCCCAGGCCACATTGAGCAAATATAAATTGTCTTGGGCAACACATAAAATATATAATTTAATTTATATAATAAAACTTCAAAAGCCCTTTTCTTAAGTTTGATATTTAATTTGTTTAATATATAACACTTATATTTGTTATTACATATTTAAGAATACGAAATTAGGGAGCTATCTACTAAACACATATGTGTATACATATACACATAACCACATATATACACGCGCACACATACAATCCCATACCTATATACACACAATCAAATACACACACAATTATCACATTCAGACACATTTAGTAAAGAATGGCTCCACCCAGCCTCTCCACCTTGCTCTGGGATGGCTGGAGTGGATCATCTCCCTGGTGGCCGATGGGATTACTGTGCTCTTCCTGCACAGGTCCCTTGTGCATCCAGTAATGATACTGCTGCAAGAATTAAATCATATCCCAACTGCCGGCTCACTGCAGGACGCGTGAGGGAGCTGTGCAAAAAGATCAGAGTAAGTAATGGGCTCCCTCAGCAGCCCGGACAGCAACTAGGCCACGAGTTGGACACGCCTTTTTTTTAAGGAATATTTTTTAACCCCTTAAGGACACAACTTGTGAAATAAAAGGGAATTATGACGGAATATTTCCGTCATGTGTCCTTAAGGGGTTAAAGAAGTATATTGTATATAAATACATTTGCTGGCTGTTTAGTATTCTAAGTTGATTTACTTGTGAAAATGTCAGAAAGAGGCAAGAGAATCAAAAGGTTCTTGGGCGTTTCATACAATAATAGAATTTAAATAGTGCACCTAGTATTGCAGACGGTACAGGAAATTAATGGTGGATTTCTGTGTTTACATTTACAAAGCCACTTGGAATATATTGACTCAATGTTTTATTTGTAATTTAACATTATTGTTTAATCAATACTTTGTTGACCAAAGGATAGGAATATAGCAGATAAGCACAGTGGAAGGGAAGTTAATAGAACAATATGTATCATCTGTGACACTGCAGGTGTGTTATAAACGTGACTAATAATTTTCCATTGAAACACTTGTAATTTATGTTTCTCTGGGAGTTTATTCTGTTTTAAAGGGACAGTTTAGGCATCATAACTTTATCTAAGTTAAGTTGTTATAGTGCCAGGAAGTTCCTGGAGTTGGCTCATCTTATGGGGTTAAACCATTTATGAAACTGGCTTGGAAAAGGTACATTTCTTTTCAAGCCAGTTTAATGAATGGGGGTTCACTGATTGACTGAGAGAGTCAGCTGACTGCTCTCAGCCCATCAGCGGCACAGACTTTAGGGTTAAATTGTTCAAAAACTATTTAAGCTGAGCCAGTGCCAGGGATCTCCCAGCACAATAACAAATACATTTCAACGCATGGAGTGTCCCTTTATTGATGTAAAGGCAAATGAGAAAGGCATAGGCTGATTTTGTAAAAAGTTTTTAAAAACTTATTTTTTTTTAATTACATTTGTAAATTAGACAAGGATATGTACAAAAACAGGCATGGCTGGGATATACTAGGAAACAGTATATGATGGTAATATCATTATGATATCATAAACACAGCATGTCTGTTCCTTGCAGTCATATTGCACTCCCCACCCATTCATAAAGCAACCATGCTTCCCTTTTTGCTGTAATCAATGCCACCAGGTTCTCCTCTGTTTCCAGCCATCCATCTGGTTACAGCTATGTTCTCCATCGGCAGCCATCCATGGCCTTGAGGATTTTGTTCACATTACTTTCTAGACATCTATGCCCATGCAGCCATGTTCTCCTTCCCCAATCATTCATGCCCAATACAACTAACCCCACTTTAAGATGCATTTTTTAATGAAATTAGTAAATTGATGATTTTATTTGGTTTCATTTAGTGTTTAATGATTATAGACAAACCATTTTGTATAATGTGAATCCATGCCAGGATTTATCAGGGACAAAATATGCCAATTGATTTGGGTATAAATAACCCTTGGAAGGCTCTATATCCTTGATATAGTCTGTGACCATAGACAAAATGTGTAGACTTTCGAATTCTATTTCCCCAGGAACCGGTTAGTGTGCACTGTACCCTTAAGGAAGCCGCTGTGTTTGATTACCCAGTGTTGGAATACTGCCCCCACACGTATAATCTCTATCCTGACTGGCGGTAGCTGCCAGCAGGGCGGTGGTGAGTTGGAGTGGTCAGCCAGTTTTTGTGTCTGGCACACTGAGGCTTCTCTCTTCCAGCTAATTGCAGCATCTTGGACTTTCAACCCCCATCTGGCTTTGGTCCTTTATCCTTTACATCGAGGAGAGGCCAATACCAGAGTAAGAGAACATCTTCCAGCAATTGTTCTTTGTTAACGAGATTTTTCACATGTGACTATTTTATTTTGCAGAAGAGAAAAAAGGCAACATCTAAAGCACAAAACGTATCTTCAGTCTTAGAGACACACACACATATAAATATATATATATATAATGTGCTTCACTAATATTAGCACCTTGGCAAATATAAGGAAAGAAGGCTGAAAATTTGTCTGTCTTTAACCTTTTGTTAAAAAAAAAAAAAAAAAATACTCTGCTCTCATGGATATCAAACAATTGCAAGCACAACACATCTTTGTTAAATATAGGTGTGGTGCAATTATTGGCACCCTTATACATTTATATGAGAAAAATATATTTGAAATATATTCCTTTTGATATTTTCATTTTTTTTAGTACACCTGCGTGACTTGGAACAGGAACTTGTTCAACCATGACTTCCTGTTTCACAGGGGTATAACTATGAGGTAACTTATAGGCCTAATTAGTCATTCATCACAATGGGCAAGACCAAGGAATATAGTTGTGATGTGCGGCAAAAGGTTGTTGAGCTTCAAAAAGAGGGAAGTGGCTATAAGAAAATATGAAAAGCATTGAAAATGCCCATTTCCACCATCAGGGCAATATTTAAGACTTTCCAGTAAACTGGAAATATGCATCAAACCTGGAAGAGGATGTGTGTCTATATGTTCATTCATGCATTGTAAAGAGGATGGTTTGAGTGGCCCAAAAAATTAAAAGAATCACGTCTTCAGAATTGCAGCAGTTAGTTGAGTGTTGGAGTCAGAAAGTCTCCAAAGCTACAATTCATCACCACAAGTTGGACTCTATCAAATATCTATAGATATTAAATGAACACCTAACTGCCTCTGCCAGAGAGCTTACAGTGGGCTGTGCCTGGATCTTCCAGCAGGACAATGATCCAAAACATTTATCAAAATAAACATAAAAATGGTTTACTGGCCACAAATAGAAGATATTGCAATGGCCATCCCAGTCCCCTGACGTGGGCCTTACAGAAAACCTCTGGGGTGAACTGAAGAGGAGAGCCCACCAGCATTGACCTCGAAATTTAAAGGATCTGAAAAGATTCTGTACGGAGGAATGGCCTCAGATCCCTTGCCATGAGGTTCTACCTCCCAACAACACACGGTGCAATATACTAATTGGACCCCAACTAGGAAGCAGAAAAAGAGATGAAACTGGTAAGAGAGGAACCGGGACCATCGTCTACAGAGTTTTATCACACTCAGCCAACCAGATACACAACACAATTATCGAACACATATCATACACTCTCAGAGAAGCTCGGTGATATATTTATGTTCAGATTTTAAGTCTTATTGCTATGGAGCTTTGAGAAACAAATACTGTAAATTTCTTATAGGTTTAATGCTATAATGTAATACAATCCTACACTCTGCTCATACTGTAAGGTTTATTGCTGTGGAGCTCTGTAAAACACAAATTCACACTGCACATTACTGTGAGTTTTGTTAAACTTTTCAACTAATTAAAAGTGATGGGCATGATTTGGATTCCCTTACACGTTTCAGTTGCTCTTCGATGGTTATCTTGAGACCTTTGCTGCTTACCAATGACTGGCAAATACTGAATGTGTGTGGGTAAATCTGACCCGGTGTGGAACACAGACTGAGAGGTCACATGAGAAGAAAGTTGTTCTAACATGTATATAAGAACAGTAGTTCCTTTTTTTTTTTTTTTAGTCTGTCTGCTGTGACTTGGCAGACCCTACCCAATTGTATATGGATAATGGCCAGGAAAATAAATATTACATTTTCTCTAAAATAAACTATATACACACCCAACAAAGTTTGATGTACTTCCTGATGACATGTACAATAATTTTATTATTGGAGAAAATTGCTTAGAAAGGAGGGGGCCAAAAGTGATGGGCTTAAGGAGCTCTGACATCATTGGTCTTTGTTTAGGAACTTGAAGGAAGAGGAAGTATTTACAATTGAGGGAGATGGGGCACTGGAAGCAGGCATTTTCCAAACCCTGTTAAATTGTAACACAGCTAATTTTTGTTTTTAAATGCCAAATCCCGTAAAATGCATAAATGTTGTGTTGGTTTCTGGAGTGTCCTTTATACACTAACACACTTTACAGTCCAAATCCTGTGGGAACAAATAGTTGTTATTTCCTAGGATTTAAGTAGAACCAGTTGTAACAGGAGCTGAAGTGACCAATTGTTGATCTTCTGATAAACCGTTCTATGCAATGTGGAGGAATGTTTAATAAACACACTGTTATATATTACTCGCTGCAGATCAAGCGTGACCTTAAAATCCAAGCTTTATAGTAACCACTTCCCACTGGCAAACATACAACCGTGCCTTCGTTTTTTTCTCGGTATTGTGTGTGCTGGCTAGTCTCTCAGGTGGGTGTTTGCATGGGGTTGTCTGAGAGATTTCAGAGAAAAATACAATTGTATTCTAAAGTAAAAAAAGAAGCCTATTGTAATAAGTTCCAATAAGTGTTGACTTGCTAGTATGTGTTAGTAACATGACACACCAATTCCAGAGCCCTCCAGGTTCCAACTTAATTAGACCTTCCTGTGCCAGGAAACTACAACGCTCCGTTGGCACTTTTGTATTCTGAGCAGGTTAACTACAGGCCTACCAAGAAAGCATGAAAAGATGAAGAGATTACATTCTTAACCCTTTCCTATTACTGATTTCACGCTCATAAACCCACCACACCATCTTTATTGTGAACAGGGCCCAAGGAACCATTTTCTGCAAGTCTTAGGTTTTAATGAGGTAGCAGGCTTTTTAAAGTGACAGCCTTTGTGTTAAGGCCCTTATCTATTTTCCAATAAACTTGCAGTAATGTTTTACAAATATATATCTAAGGCAAATACATATGTTGAGCAAAGTGTGGAATTTGTGAACTCTTGGATGTTAATGGCTATGGACCAGTGGTTCTTATTTACATTATTACATTTAGCAAAATGACACACTCTTCAGTTTTAGAATGACCTATTCTGTAAAACTCCATCAGAGCCCTCTTTCCAGCGCCAGAGTGATCTCTTTATAAGGAATTTGCGAGGGACACACAAATTTGAGTCTCACTGCCCTTGACCAATACCATTTTTTCTGTACAATATTGACCTTTGTAAGAAAATGGGTAAGTAGATTTGCAGTTTTACTATAATGCTATGCTGATAGGAGGCGGCTTATAAAATATTTCACAGATGGCTCTATGGAGTCTACAGAGTCAAAGGCAGCATTGGTCTACAGTACAAGAAGTTGAAGTGGAGATACCATTTATCTGAAGATGGGACCATTCCAGCAGGGCAATAGGTATAGCCTAATAGAAGGTGTGCTGTTAAATAACTTTCAGTAAAGGAAAGGATAGAAAGAAGACAACACAAGAGTGGAAAAATTGACATATATGTTGTATTCGTAACCCAACTTGGTGGCTAAATCATGCTGCTGCTTTTTTATGTATATACATGTTTGTATTCCTAATGCTATAATGTTCCTTTAAGACAGCCATTGAGTTATGGGATGGCTTAGAAGAATTGTATGGAAGTAAGAATCTAAATGAAAGACTTTATCAACTAAACTCTTCAATGTGAAGCTGTCTGAGAGAGGAAACCAAGAGAAATTTCTGAATCAAATGTCAGAGTTAATTGATCATTTAGATTCTTTTGAAAAGAAAGTTGATGTAGAAGACAAAGTGATTCTAATTTTATCAATTCTTCCTGAAAGCTACAATTAATTAATTAATACACTAGAAAAAAGAAAATATCACTCTGTGAAATGTTACAGCACGTCTTAAGTGCCAGGGCTTGCGAGAGATGCAGATAGAGAGCCTCCAAGTAGACTTGGCCACTGGAGACATTTACATTTCATCTGAAAACAATTTTTTTAAATTTTTTTTATTTTTTATAAATTTGTATTTTATTTGAGTTTGAATACTCGAAATACAGCATTGCCGCAGTATGCAGTTAGGAATAATTTGTCGTCAACATTAAACATAAATAATAAGTAACTTTAAGAAGTTGCCAAGATGGTTATATGTCTGATATTATTGTGTACAGATTATGTGTAAAAGGCAGTATAAGCACTATGAACAATCTACAGGAACTGTCTATATATGCGTATCAACTTTGCGGTGTCAGGGAGGTCAGTATTTGTAGTGGGTGGTCTGAGTCCACGTTTCATCGCAGGTGCTTGATGTCCAGATATGGGGTATGTTAGCTTCGTGGTATAGTCTAAGAGTGTCTCTTAGGTAAGGTTGGCATGTGTATGCCCTTCTTTGGCCTTTGGTCTGACACTGTGCGTGGTTCCCTTCTTCTCTGGGTTCCACTGTGTCTTTTTCCTGCAGGTTCAGCCGCCGGAGAAATAGCTGTTGGTCATCTGCAGAGGTCAGGGTAAGTGTCTGGTCTCCCTGTGGTACCGCCAGGGATCCATCTGCTCCCTTAGCTGTTTGGTTATTGGTGCCAGCTGACGTCGTTCCGCTAGTGCTGCGAATGGGATATCCCCAAATAGGGCCACTGCGCTGCCCTCCAGTTGTACTGTGCCCAAGACTCTGGAGCGGGACTTGATGGCAGAGCGGGCTGCTATGTCCTTTATGATAGCTTTAGTGTCTCTGGGTGCGTCCGCCGGAAACTGTTGCAGCTTTTCGGATTTTGAACGCTGAAATTATCATGTTAGATTCAGCGCTCCCTTTTATGCCCATTACAGATAGTAGGCAGTGGATGTAGGGCTACTCTCTGGTATCCCTCGGAGGAGGACATTCCGCTGTCTGTGCCGTGTCTCCATTGTCGTGACAGTCCGCGTGAGTTTTTGTACCTGCAAGTTAAGGGCCTGCATCGAGTCTCGGGAGTGCTGTAGTTGAAGCTCCCTTGCACATTCCCTTGACTCCACCACTGTCAGCCGTTGTTGGAGGTTATCCACCTCTTTCTGAGTGCTCTGTAAGTTGGCCTTCCACACCTTCCTCATTTCTGTTAACAGGTCTCGTATATCCCGCTTTGTTGCTGGTGATGAGTCCTCCTCCAATTCGGAGTTCAGGTAACGGGCCCCTGCATCTGTTGGGGATGAGTTGCGGCTCTCCCTATCCACATGGGAGTCCTTGGATGCCTCCGCTTCACTAGGTGCCTCAGGCGCCATTTTGGCGGGAGCCGGCGGATTAGGCCTCGCAAATGAGAGCCGAATATCTGACATTCTTGGTGTCTCAGGTGAGTGGAATTTTTTATTTTTGCGCCCCATTGACTTCTGTGTGTGAGGCTTGTGTGTGGCCGCGGTTGGGCACCGTTTAACAGGCTTTTTAGTCTCTATTTTGGGTGCTGGTACGGAGCTCCTCAGAAACGCGTCTGCCTCTCTCAGCAGTTGGCCCCCCCCCCCCATTTTTAAATTTTTTTTTTTATCCATTGACTTATTCATTTTTGGACAAAATTCAGACGTTATTATTGTTTCGGAGAAACCATTTGTTCATTCGGCTCACTCTCCCATCCCATGTCGCTGTGCTATAGCAATGTATTGAAAAAGACAGAATGCTTCATACAATTGGCTCACTGCAGGGGCATGATCTATACACAAAAACTGCTTCAATAAGCTAAAATTGTTTGAGTTACTATAGTGTCCCTTCATGGTAAGTAAGCAGTGCACTACAATTCAAAAGAAGAAACGAATGAAAAAAACAGACACATTTAATAAATTGTGTCATATATTAATATATAAATTTGATGTAAAAGTGTCTATGACATTTTGATAAATCTCCTCCACAGCATCCCTGAAAATTGTTTTCAAATATTGGCATCTATGAGTTTATACAACATTGCACATTTTTCTTCCAGTAATGACAATACAAGGTCCTTTAATGTGACTGAGATAATTTTTTATTGCAACACTACAAGAGCAGTGTATCGTTTGACCTGATCCTGTTTAAAATAAGTTGGCAAAACATTTTGTCTGTTCAGGAGACAAATTCGCTCTATGAAAAAAAACTCTAGTCTGTCAACTTTTGAAATATTGTCATAAAGTCTGTGCAAAGAACCTAAAATTCCATGGCAATAGAACCCCTACAACTCCTATTACCCACTGCACCCACTAAAGTCCCTATGCCTACTGCACCAATTACAGCTCCAATCCCCCCTACAACTCTCAGGCTCAGCCCCTAAAATTCCCTGCACCCAATACAGCCCATTTTACCCCCCTCCATTTCCCTCTGCACCAACTATTACCCCAACTACAGCTCCATTTCCCCCTCTGTACTCCCTACAGCCCCCATTACTCCCTGCACCCACTACAGCCCTTTCCCTCCATCACCCACTACAGCTCCTATGCCCAATGCACCCACCAGGGGCGCCATCAGGGGGTGAAAACCATAACAGTTGTCACGGGCCCCGGCCCCCACGTGTAGCGGGTGAACTGCTGCCGGTGCAGTTGCAGTGTCAGGGTGGCCCACGCACTTAGGGACACCCAATGGGCCCTATATCTTCAGGTGCCCGGTCAGCGCTACGGCCGTGCAATAGCGCGACCGGGCCCCTTTAAAAAAAATCTCAGCCGCAAAGTACTGCTGGGAGGAAATGGCCGTCACTTCCTCCCAGCTCCCTCCGCTCCGCGCCGCATGGGAGGGAAGAAAGACAGGCCGCTGGAGCCACGCCGACTCCCATCAGCCACAGCCTTCCACCTGCAAAAAAAAGGTATGTAAAATTAGCTGTATTTGTGTATGTTAGTATGTATCTATCTATGTATGTCTGTCTGTCAGAATGTGTGTGTCTGTGTGTGTGTCTGTGTAAGTCAGTATGTGTATGTATGCATGTCTGTCTGTGTGTATGTATCTGTATGTATTTCAATATGTATGTATGTATGTCTGTCTGTGTGTATGTATCTGTATGTATTTCAATATGTATGTATGTCTGTATGTGTCTGTATGTATCTGTATGTATCTCAATATGTATGTATCTGTATGTATGTCTATCTGTGTGTATGCATCTGTATGTATGTCAGTGCGTGTGTGTGCAGTGTGCATAGGAATTTGTTCATATTGTTCATTGTCCGACTCCCAACAGTGTCTGAGGGACCGTGATCTGGCCCCTTGTTTAAAAAGTTTGAGGACCCCTGTCATTATGAATGTATGTATGTATGTATGTCATTATGAATGTATGTCTGTATCTATGCATGTATGTCAGTATAAATGTATGTCTGCATGTCATTATGAACGTATGTATGTGTGTATGGATGTCAGTATATATAAATGTATGTCTGTCAGTATATATGCGTGTATGCCAGTATGAATGTATGTATGTGTGTATGGATGTCAGTGTCTGTATGAATGTATGTTTGTCAGTATGTATGTATGTATGCCAGTATGAATTAATGTATGTCTGTGTGTATGTATGTATGTGTATGTCCTCATGCATGTGTGTCTGTATGTATGTTAGTATATGTCTATTTGTCACTATGTATGCCTGTGTGTCTGTATATGTGTGTATGTCTCAGTATGTGTGTGTGTCAGTACGTATGCCTATATGCGTGTATGTCTGTTTCAGTATGTGTGTCTGTTAGTATGTATCTTTGTGTGTGTGTGTATGTATCTGTGTCCTTTTGTATCAGTGTGTGTTTTTGTGTCTGTGTGTGTATTCCTGTGGGCGGGATTTGGAGGTGGACCCTGTGGGCGGGATTGGAGGCTGGCCCCACGGGGCCCAGACCCTGAGCTGAGTTAGGGGCCCCAAAATTTCTGGTGGCGGCCCTGGCACCCACCATAGTCCCTATCCCCTTGCAACTACCACAGCCTCTAACGATCCACTCCGCCCACTACAACCCCTATTACCCACTACAGTCCCTATCCCCAATGCATCCACTACAGTCCCTATTACCCCATGCACCCACTATAGCCCATATCCCTCCCCTGCACCCACTTCAGTATGTAAACCTCTCTTGCACCAACTCCAGCCTCTATACCCCTGTGACAACTACTAATATGATTTAGTAGTGGATATTATTAGTGACTGTGCTACTTTTTGTCCCCGCTTTGTACTCTTCCTAGAGTTGCCACTGGCTGTAGACAAAAGAGCTGCATAATTTGCAAGCTTCTTTCAGATATACCCCTAGTAACAATATGTATAATTAAATGCATACATGTTTTCATTGGATATACCTATTAAACAGTGATTTTTCTTTTCTTTTTCTTTAATTACAGATTATAAAAACTGCTCAATGGAGAATGCTATCTACTGAATGGAAATATAAATTTGGGCTAAGATGCATAAAAAGAAGATAATTATATCAGGCGGCTACAATAACAGAACACTTTAAGTAGAAGACAGCGGGGTCATTACCCTCTGGTTGACAATTCTTGGAATGCAATGAATGAGATGACAGGTCTTTCTGGTTTGTGGTCCTTCATCTGGTAAAATTGTGATTTTTGGAAGACATACAGGTATTTTTTTTTTTTTTTACTAATGTCTTCAAACTTTCAGCGAAAACAGTTAAACTAAATACATAGCTATCTTGGAGAATTTTTCCATTTGACTATTATGACCTGCAGTTTTTATATTCACTTGGAATTACTGACAATACAAGCTTTAGTGAACAACACTACTTATTTATACTCAGAGACAATGCATTTTCAGTTTAAAAAACAAATTTATTTGTGTTATGGATTAAGATGAACTTAGATCTGTACCCTCTTGAGAAATAGACCTTGTTAATTCACTTTTTCACATCACAATAGAAAGACCTTCACAGGTTTTTGTAGACAATTTGCTGGCTCCAAAGGAACATACGAACATGCAGTGGTCTTAACCTAATGTGGTTCCGTTGTGACAAAAATTACGATCCTGCCATCTTTAAAAGCCATTACAATTGCAACAAATAAACTCACTAAATTTACTTTAGCTTCTGAAAGGACCTTTTCTGACGTGTGGTTCAAATTTTGGATGGTAGATTGCAGAAGGACAGACTTCTAACTAGTCCATCATACCACATCTTCTATTCATAAAACATGGAGACCAAGCCTTGTCTATGACATGAGGTGCTTTTCTTTCTAGAGAATATCCCTCTCTCCCCCCTTTCTTATGTATCGCACAATATCTTCCATTCGCCTTCCCTTCTATCTTTTATTATTATATATAACAAAAAATCTGTTCTTGGCCTATCGTTTTTTCCTGCCTTTTATTTGATAGGCTGCACAAAGCACTTTATAAATAAATAAATTATTAGAGAGGAAATGTCACTTGCCAAGATTTGTAGTATTATGTTTACTTATCCCATTATTTAACAAATATGTATTTGTAAGTTGTGAAAAATGAAATTAAAAGTGGAAATATATAGCTCTTTATCCTGTAACTGGGTCAATCATTGTTATAAGTTCTGTTAACCTGGCAGTTAGCATAGTGAATGCATACGAAGAAAAAGAAAAAATGTTTGTATACAACAACGCAAGACAATGTTTAAAGGTGTTTTTATTCAATGGTGCAAATTCCAGTGACGTGTCGAATCCCCTTTAAATGGGACAAGTTTCTTTAAGTGTTTTATGTGAATTTGAATATTTAGCCCACCCTTTCTTAGAAGAATGCTACATTCCTAAAATGTTCAAGGTTCTTGCCCTGAAAATGTTGCCTTCCCTGGAATAAATAAAGCATAGGAGTGCGCACGGGATATGCCTAGGCACACCCTAATTCCCGCGGCACACCTATGTATATTGAGACCGGCAGGGGAGATCTCAGGATCTCCCCTGTTGGCTCATGCAAAGCCAGCGCTATCTGAGCGCCAGCTCTGCTCTCAGCCTCCCTCCCTACCGACCCACATGCAGGGAGGGAGGCAGGAGAGGACCGGCGGAGCTCTTGCTGGCAGCTCTGC